TACTGTTTATAAAACGTCATATTAACAAACATGACCATCTATTTCCAGCTGTGTGTTAGCACAATGATAAATGATAAGTCACATTTGTAATGTATTACATCACTTAGCGAGGTCCCACTCCAATGCTCCTTACAATATCAGCGTATTCATCACGCGTCAACAACTGCCATTATCTATCAATTTCTGGATGAAGGCCTCCCAACGCCTTTCCCATTCCTTAGTCCTATGTTGCCACAATGCATCTTTGCTCATGCGCATGAAACGACCTCATTGTTCCATCTTTGTTGCTCTTTTGGTCATGTTACCTCCTTTGGGCTGCCATGCAAAATGCCATCCCCGAATCTACTTTCCAAAGTCAATACATTTCCGATTCCTATTTGATTCCTGATCCATGTTGCTCCTCTGTCCCTCAACGTAATTCTAAGTATTGTTTACTGCTTACTTTTCAGCTTTTGTCAATTTTTTTTGTCAGTGTCCATTTTTCGGATCCATACATTATATCGAGAGCACGGTCTTCTAAGTTGTGTGTCACGCCTAACATCATTAGCTCGTGATATCTGAAATGGTCCTGGGCACCCCATTCACCAACCTGCACTGACCAGCGCGTTGAAGTATGGTCACACGACCCCCAAAACGGTGGGCTGGAAATATAATATATACCTTTGTACACATTGGCAACATGACATCAGCCGACATAGCAGTTCATAGTAGGGTATACGTGGGGGAGCAGGTGGAGTGAGTGAGTGAAGCGAGTGGAATCAGAGAACTGGGTGGAGCGGGTGGAGCGAGCGGAGTGAGCAGAGCAAGTGGAGCAAGTGAAGCGGGTCTCGTGAGTGAAGTGGGTGGATCGGGTGGAGTTGGTGGAGTGAGTGGAGCGGATGAACTAAGGGGAACGGGTCAGGCGGTTGGAGCGGGTGGAGTGGATGGAGCAGAGTGGAGCAGGTTGGAGCAGGGTGGAGCAGGGTGGAGTGAGTGGGGCTCACCAGCTGGTCTCTCAAAGCTGTTCTCAATGCCTAAAAGGTCTCCAGCATTCTTTTGCATCTTGATAATTACAGGGTACAGTGCTGACAAAGTGCTCTTGCACTACCCCGTGAGCAACCTCGGTTCGACTCCCGGGCAAGGCTATCAGCTGAACCAGTTCAATCCACTTACCCCACCATTCATCAAGTAGAGCACAGTCAAACGACCCCAATGACCGACATGGCATGACGAGGCCTTCGTCCAGCAGTGGAAAGATAAAGGGCAATAGACTTCTTCTTTTTCTTCGGTAAAGTCACGTAGAATGGAAATAATAAAATAATAAAAATAAAACATTATAAAATAATTCTCACGACGGTTTCGGCCTGTTCTTCACCTGAGGACGGCTGCTTGTGTCGTGGCCGAAACGTCGTGAGAATTATTTTATTATGTTTTATTTTTATTATTTTATTATTTCCATTCTACGTGACTTTACCGAAAGAACCAAGAAGATGAATCCCTGCAGTCACGAAAGATTTAAATCGGCTATAGACTTATCGATGATTCGTGTAGATGTTATTGTACTTCCCGTTTGTTTTCCTCTTGTTGATGCTGTTTTTGTTTCGAACCCACGTCTCATGGCTTTACTTTGACGTAAATTCAAGACCCTGTACCACGAAACAAAATGCTGGCGCTGCTTGCTATGGGTGGAGTTTATTATCAGGTGAACTTTGGATAAATGAACAGGTTGTTATAAACATCTGTAAAGTTGATAGCTTAGAGGCTAGGGAACAGAGAAGTCAGCCAATGCAAATTCTCAAGTCGTGAGAACATTTCTGGCACCAAAATAAGATCTACAAGTTGCAGCTCAATGACATCGTTAGATGCCAAATTATTAATTTTTAAATCACTCAAACTTGTAGCCGCTTATGTTGGCACAGTTTGTCATATCTTTCCATACTTTGGTCCGTTTAATAGATTTGAAAATAAATTGTGACACGAATGAAATAAAAACAAATCTAGAGATACAAGTACATGTATTTTCATAGCTGCAACATTATTCCCATAAGTCTAAACTAAAACTACTGTATTAACCAGGTAAAACCCACTGAGCTATGAGCTCTTTTCAGATGTGACTTGGCCACACGTGATCGTATATCGAATTGGCCAATATCATCACCAGCAGCCAAAGAATGTAAACGCAAGTTTCTAAATGTGGAGGGCAAAACCAGAGGACCTGGAGGAAAATCCAAACGACCACGTGGAGATATTACTCGCGAACTCCAAATATACATCAGGCACCGTCAGGGTCAGGCTGGAACCCACGACCTCATCCCACAGGCAGCACTTGGATGAGTTCACCCAAACAAAACAAGCAACTCTCCTCTAAAGGCTACTGCACACTTAGACTGTGCATTCCAGGCTGTCCGGCTTGAGTATGAAGCATAGTTAAGGGCAATATATATTTTTATTGATGTTACATTCACGCACTTTCGTATTGCACTTTAGTAATGTTATTGCGATTTGAGCTCCATACTTTGAATATGTCAAATTGGCGACATCACTCACGCACTGACAGTGAGTCCTACTGTGATATTAAAATACGTGGCTTGAGAATCATGAATACCGGCGGTATAGCTTGCATCCCTGCCCCAGAAATTGTTGCGATTCAGGATCCCGGTTAAATAAAAAAAAAAATAATTGTGGTAAATATAACGGCCGCTAGTGGCTGCAGATGTAGTCAAGTACAACATAAATAAATGATGTTAACACAGACAATTTTTGATTACGGGCCTCTGCTAGGGTTGTGCTGGATTGAGCCCTCCACCGCCAAATGTATGTTGAACTTCTTTCACGCCGTACATATCCAACCGTGCTAATCCTTCAGGCACCATGACGGTGACACAGTGTGTCACCGTCATGGTGCCCCCCACACAATACTGTTGTGTAGTTTGACTGCCCCCCCCCCCGGCCCTCACCCCCCACCCCAAGAGAGCTGGAGCAGCGGTCGGTAACCTATGGCTCGCAAGCCATATATGGCTCTTCCGGTGACGGAAAAAAATAATAAAAAAATAAAATCAGTTTGGAACTGATTTTAAAATACTTGTGATATTGCTTAATAATAGTGTCATTTTAAAGTAAACTGAAATTAGTTTTGAAGATAAAATTTCTCGGGTCACGGGTCCCTGTGACCAGAAGTCGCATTAAAAGTAAGACTTATTTAATATATTATACGTTAAAAATACTATATGGCTCTCAATGAAATATATTTAGAAATATTTGGCTTTTATGGCTCTCCCAGTCAAAAAGGTTCCCGACCCCTGAGCTGGAGGCTGGGCCTGGATTCGATGCTTGAGAATCTATGAATGTATACAACGAGACACGTCTAATGAATATGCGTGACAATGTAGGGCACACCAGCCTCTTGTTTGAGAGAGAGAAAGAGATCGGTCATCATCAGTCTCAAAAAGGCTTAAGTAGGCTCAGACCCATCAAGGGAAGTATACAGAAAGGGCTGAAAAGTTATGTACTCTGCATATACACACAGCTCAATTTTCTATCGGATTAAAAGACTCGTGCATGAACACAGAGCTTCACACTCATGTCGGACAGCGAACTGGAAAACTCGGTGTGTATATATGTATCAACCGGACAGTGGTGACGCATGCCTGTAATCTGGCACTGTGAGAGCAGCGAGAGTTGGTGGAATGACACAAACGGTGTGACAACTTCCATCCCGTGATGTGTCGAGATGCCATAGCCTGGCTTGACCAGGAGAAGACGTTACAAGTGCAGACTAATATCATCTGTACATTCTGCACGGGATAGAGTGCTACGTCCACGCACGCGTGGGTTTTCTCGGATTGCTTCTGTTTTCTCCCACATGCCTAAACACTCATTAATCGGCTGAGAACATCTTAATACAGAGAGGGCTGCAGGGCTTTGAGCAATTGTTTGCTCTGGCTCACCGCCTGGTTTCCTTCCGGCTTGTCTGTTAGTCCATCAGCGTTGAGATGCTATGAAACGAATGACGCTATTAAAAGTAAACATTACATATTGCTCATCTATATGATACGGGCGACAGGATTATTTGGGGGGCGGGGGTGGGGGAGGGAGTTGCATTTCCATTTCGTTGGTATGGTGGTGCACACCTGTAGACCAATACTTTGGAGATAATTGTTGGTCGATCACACAGAAAACGTGTGAAACTGGGCCACAAGGAGATGGTAGCACGTGGATTCTCTCATCCACCCGTATGTAACGTTGAGTGTTATCCACCCGTGTGCACTGTGTATCTTCTCCAGGTATTCCGGGCTCCTCCAACGATGCCACTCACGAATTGAATTGGCCAAACAGCCCAGTAATTCGGGACGGAGCTGAAAAAATGTAACCCGTAAAAACAAAGTTTTTCACTATAAATCCTTTATATGCGTGGCGGCTAGAGTCCTCTCGTCCTCTGGCTTGAGATGGCTGCCACCTATGGGTCAGATGATTGCCTGCCACCATTAAGCAATTGGTAATTAAATATAAAAAACAAATTCCTAAAAGTGTAAAATTTTGGAGAAAAATTTTTCACGAAAATAAATTGTCACGCACAACGAGTCTGTGTGCAAAATGTCAGCTCGATTGGATCACGGGAAGTGGCTTAAAAAACGACCGAAAGATTTGCACGGTCGTAAGTGCACAAGCAAGCAAACAAGTGAACTTAATATAAAGGATTTAAAAAAGAGAGCCTCTAGACTCGCCGAGGCTTTCCTGGCTCAAGAAATGTCATAATTAACGGGAGCACATTTACCATCGTTATTGTCACAGCAGTATAAACCTGTGCTGTGCGCGCATGACCTGGAACGCGTTACCAAGCTCGTGCTCGGGATCCTTGCCGGAGCCAGTTTTGCCAGAGACATAAAACAGTGTCGTATCCAAAGGGCTCACTGCGTGTAATTAGTGCGCGATAAGAAACTCTCAGAACTAACAATCGTGCGCTCAGACGAACTTACGCACGCACACGCACGCGCGCAGAGAGAGAGACACAAACTCATTACCGGGCAGCAACATGGGTGCCTTCCCACGGGACCAGTCGCCCTTGTCGTCGGTCACGCACAACCCCAGCACACCGTCCCACCGAGCGGGCGGCAGGCACAGCAGCGGGGCCACGTCCCAGCCAGAGCCATCCCCGGAGCCAGAGCCGTCTTCGTCCGCACGCACGGGAGCTGCCGAGCCCAGCAGCAGCAGCAGCAGCGCAAGTGGCAGCACCAGCGAATGAGACATCCTCGGCACGGACCTCTGCATCGCAAACCGGCGTTGGGACTTGTGAGCGTGCTGAGAGTGTCCTTCTAGCAGGGGCAGCGGACGACCTCGCAGATGGGGTTGTTGTTGTTGCTGCTGCTGCTGCTACACTGGCACTGTCGTTGCCTTTGGCTGTATGAGTGGACCCGATGGTGGAGTTGTTGGGTTTTTTTTGCGAGACCAAAAAGTGCGTGGCTCGGGAACTCAAAGAGGCGAGTGGGGTTGTGGAGCGTCAAGAGGATGTGCGCACCACGGGGACTGGCTGCTCTACGCCGCTTGATAAGGGGGGGGGCGGATTTCACATGGAGGGGAGGGGTGGCTATGGGGAGGAGGGCTGCGTTTGGCTCTGCGTTGGCTGGGACGTCTGCATTCTGCTTGTGCCCGTCAGGGGTTGGAGGTGGAATTGGAGATGGAGATGACTAACGCTGTCAGATACAAGCACCACCCCGCCCTCACCTTCCCTCCTCCCCCACGCAACACGAATCTAAACTCACACCTCACCCTCGTTCGTCACTGTCCGCTATCTCAGCGTCACGTCGCCAACTCTATTGTCCCCCCACCGCCGCCACCGAACAAAACCCGGGGACAATGGCACAGCTATCGAAGTGTGCAGGTGGTGAGATCCATGGGACTGCAAGGGGATCAGGGGCCGGCCTGTGAAGGGGCGGGGTGGGGGATTTAATTCCTTGTACTGCGGCCCATGCCAACCACGCCGCTGCCTGGGAAGCCGCTCTTTTTTCATCCGTGTTTGTCAATGTTCATCAAACCCAACGTCTGCTCTCATCTTCCTGCACCCCACTCCTTCAGTAGCAGCAGCAGCCAGCAATAGCCTTAGCAGTGCCGGGTTATCTTCCTCGTAGCAAAAGTAGCTGCATATGCTACGGGCGCCGCACTTTCAAGGTCCCCGCGCTAAATGCTTTCAAGCTATCAATTCCGGTTGAGCGATTCTGCACTTGCTCTATTGCTATAGTACTATACCGCCTTCGACTTGTATGAACGACTGGCTGTTTAAGGTTTGCGATTTGTCGCATTATCTGGCTGTATAGCAAATGAAAAAATACAATTACTTTGCTATGCAAGTAAAACATTTGTGTTTTTATATTTATGTGGGTTTTTATTTATTTAGGGCCCCTTTGTAACATATGCTACAGGCATATGTTATAATCCGGCACTGAGTCTTAGCCTACACAGCCGTACACGCCTCTGTCTTTCACTGTAGTAGCTAGCACCTGTTTAACGCATCAAAGCAGTTGGAATTAACATCGCTCTCGAATATCTGCCCACAACACCGTCCAACCTTCTTCCCCCCAGCCCTCCGATTGGCACGGTTGGCAACGTACGGCGCGAAAGAAGTTCAACATGCATGTTGTACAACCATCCTGTAGCTATTTTCTGTCTCCCAGTCACATCATCCACCCGTGCGTCTGCTCACCCTGTTTATAAAGCACATTAGCTCCATGGTGTTAACGATGAATATGGAATGTGCGTCATTATTTGTGTGTTTCACAAGTCCGACTTGTACACTTAGTTATTGGGAACCTCAATTCGTTCTGCATCGCAATTATTTCTTGTTCATGAAGGAACTTCTCCGTGTATAGTACGGCACGGTTACAACCAATATCCCCTGCTGGCAACACGATACGGACATTCTTTTGTCGGGGTGACAGCGCCGTCTAAATGTTTAATCGCGAGAAGCCTATTGTGTTAAGTAATTCATAAGCAATTTTGGGCGTAGGGCAGCTGTTTTGAAAGTTGAGTCTCGTCTTTGTGGGACGATCATCAAACGTTGCCACGCGTGCACGCATTGGACCGATGCACGCGATACCCCTCATTTACATTGTGAAAGAAACAAAAAGGTGAAACCTAAACTGGTCAGGGGCTGCGAGAGAGAGAAAAAAATTAACCCGTAAAAACAAAGTTTTTCACTATAAATCCTTTATATGCGTGGCATCGGTTTTATTTTATTATTCATTTCTGTTTTTCTTGAGTAAGAGTTTCATTTTTATCACATAGGTATTTTAAATTAAATATGAATTTTTTTTCTTTTTTCTAAAAAGTGGAACATTTTGGAAAAAAATTTTCACGAACATTAATTGTCACGCACAACGAGTCTGTGTGGAAAATGTCAACTCGATTGGATCATGGGAAGTGGGTTAAAAAACGACCGAAAGATTTACACGGTCGTAGCAAGCAAGCAAGCACGCAAGCAAGCAAGCGAACTTAATATAAAAGATTTAAAAACACAACCGCCCAACATGACTGCAGTCCAGAGCTTTAATGCGATGCTATCCACACCTGTCCACCCCCTTCAGTGCCCTACCGTATTACAGACAAATTCACACCTTATTGGTCACCCCGTGCCCAAACAAATCTCAACGTTCATTCTATGCACTACACTATACACTACTATACACTATACACTACACCACTACATATCTGTCAACCCCCTTATCAGTGCCTTACCTTATTATAGACCAATTCACACCTTATTGGTCACCCCGTGCCCTTATAAATCTCAACGTTCATCTAACAAAGTCCCATCACAAGGAAGAAACACAAATAGACAAAAAATGGTTGCCCGTATTGAAACGGCTGTATGCCGTATGGACCTGAAAACTAAATTTCCCTATACAAGAATACGGTAAACCGTATGGGTTGACAGGTATGTGTTATCGCTTATGCAAGTGTAATGAGATAGTGACATCTATTGGTTGGAAAAGGAAAGCACTGGTACAGGCACCACTATAAACACTCTCCAATCCCAAAGGGAGCGGTATCTGGGCCAAGGGTAAAGGGCGGGGATGGCCGAGAAACACCGAGAACCGGCTAGAAGGTTCCACGAGAGGGCGTGGCCGGAGGCGGAGCCTAGCCGCGCCTGCGGCAATATAAGCGGAGGCGGAGGAGGACTCGAGGTCGGTGTGTGGAGTCTTGGGTCCGGACTGCGTCGCTACTCGCCGTCATCTCTCTCCGTCGTTCGGCCACGTGGCGGATCTCCTGCGGAGTTCCACCGCTCTTACCGGCACGCCGTCAGCCAGCGGCGAGGCCGGAGCCCCGCCGTGTGATCAACCATGTGTGTAGTCTGTAACAACGTTAATGTCCAAAGTGTGTACTCGGAGGAGGGAGAAGATAACGTTAGCCTGTGCTGTGCCCGCATGTGAAATAAAGAAGAGTACCATCTACACGACGTGTCGCAGAAGTCGGTCATTACACAAGGATGGGTTTGCAAATGGGACACTTCTCACAAAGTTGAGCTTGATTTGTCCATCCCGAATCTGTATGGCAGCGTAGCGGTTAGCGCGCACTACGCATACCCGAGTTCCATTACCGCTCATGGCCAACACCTGCAACGATTATATGAACCGGTCGTGGTCCTCCCCTAGGTCGACTTAGCCTCAAATGAGTTCCTGGTGCAGTGTGCAAACATCACAACTAGCGAGACAAAGGCGTCCGAGCATGGTGCTGGCCACCCATCCCCTTGTTTGCAGTCCCGGCCTTCATAGGTGCTTGCCAACAGCACTTGTCCTAACATTCTGTTAAGGCTCTACGGGGAACATTTGTCTTTGTACCCTGTCCAACTGACGTTCCCACTGAAGATCAACTGCTGTAACTATGTGGTCAGACTCCAAATCCCAAGTTGGTATATTTTTTTAAGCTTAGTATTTTTTCCTTCTATCGCAAAGACTCAAAGGTTGAGCAATCCCTGGCATAAAACGATTGCCAGTGATGTTTACATAGCAAGCAGAAGTCTCCACCTGCTGGACGTTTTCAGCGATGTTCAAGCATCAGAATGACTGAGGGAGCAATATAGGCTGATAGAATGCGTTCCAGGTGTGTACGTGGAGCCGGTCTGCCCTGTCCCTCGCCTCCCGTCGGCTAAATTGACAATAGCAACAAGAATAAAAAAAACATACTCCACATTTTGTTCTTTCCTCCGGAGAGGTGGGCGACTCCACAATAATTGAGCACCAGGGGTTTGTGAAACGGCGAAACTTTATTTGAAAGTTTTCTTCAAAAGGGCAATTGCGCATCTGCAGTAAATCATCAGAAACACCCTCCACATTCACAACACTGCAGCTCAATTCCTCAGCACGAATTCCGCCCAAATCTAAATTGGGCACGTGCCCCATACCCTATGGTGCACGTGGGGCTCGGGAACCTATCCCTGATCACCATTGCCTTCTCATCTTCTATCTATATATATAAAAGTAAAAATGTGTCTGTTTGTGGGTTTGTTTGTGTTTGTGTGTGTTCGCGCGCCTGTTCGCGCGCTTGCGAACAATTTGCCTCTCCGACGGTGGGGTTCACGTAAAAAAAATAGGCAGGTTCCACACCGTAAGCCCCGCGGTGAGCAAGCGCTATTCCTTTTTCACATCGTCAACTTTAATTAGTTTCATTAGCAATTTAGTGCAATTATTGTGTTCTTCCCTTTTATTTTTTTACGACGCGTGCACGACCGTACCAACTCACGCGCCTTTGGTGGGGTGGGGGCGGCCCATGCCAAGTCGCACGCCTTCGGTGGGAGTGAGGGGGACATTTTCTTTCACATTACAAATGCTATAAAAATACACTAAACGCTGACGTTAATTCTTAACTGTGATGTCTCCCCCCCACCCCGATGCATGCAGTTATTACTACTATGCAGTCGCTAAATGCTACCACAGAGCGGCCGGGGAGATCGTTGGCTGAGGCTTGGGGTCAGGGGTAGCAGCCCAGCCCCAGCCTGCCAAGGTGCCACCTCGGCCAGCTGGACAATCTAGGCGAGGCCGGATGCTCTGCACGGGATTAGGCCTCACCACGCCACTCTGTCAGGTGAGTACTTTGTGTTATACAGTCCCTAAATACTGCTATAGAGTCAGCATGTACTACTGTAGTGACAGCAGGTACTACCACAGTCAGTATGCACTGCTGTAATCATAGCAGGTATCATCAGAGTCAGTATGCACTGCTGTAATCATAGCAGGTATCACAGTCAGTATGCACTGCTGTAATCATAGCAGGTACCACCACAGTCAGTACGCACTGCTGTTAGATTTTGAAGAGTAGTTTTGAAATATTTTTAGGACCCAGGCAACACCGGGTACTTCCCATTAGTATAATATAATAACTTAAAATGATGTTGGAGAATAAATGTCGATAAAATATGCAGTTATTTTACATTATTTGTCAATATGATAGCTGTTAGTCGCACGTGAATACGTGGAGGAAATTTAAATGCTATGTATCTTATTGGTTCTTTCGGTAAAGTCACGTAGAAGGGAAGTAATAAAATAATAAAAATAAAACATAATAAAATAATTCTCACGACGTTTCGGCCACAACGCAAGCAGCCGTCCTCAGGTGGAGAACAGGTCCGTCAAGTAGACAGAGTCTGAATGTCTGAATGTAGACTCTGTCTACTTGACGGACCTGTTCTCCACCTGAGGACGGCTGCTTGCGTTGTGGCCGAAACGTCGTGAGAATTATTTTATTATGTTTTATTTTTATTATTTTATTACTTCCCTTCTACGTGACTTTACCGAAAGAACAAAGAAGATGAATCCCTGCAGTCACGAAAGCTTTAAATCGAAATTTAAATGCTATGTAGTTTAACAAGGGTGGTTGAAGTCCTTCCCTAACTTTTGCTCACATAGAAGAGAGTTTTAATTCCAGGATTATGGCTGCTCACGTGGTTTAACAACAGTCTCCATCCACAGCAAAGCACTTCTCCCACTGTTGGACACGTTGCCTGAATGCCCTCAGCATATTGGGAATTGTATTTTTCATTGAAGCTGTTTAGGACACACGTTTTCACCAAAGTGCTCTTTTAGTAGGTCAAGCAGATGGAAGTCACCGAGAGCCAGGTCTGGAATCTGTGACATATAAAGGAACTTCCCAGCCCAGACTGTTCAATTTGGCTGTGGTGGCTTACGCTGCATGGAGTTCAGCATTGTCTTGGAGAGAAAAAAAAACTCCGCTGGACAGTAGGTCGTGATGTTTCTTTCTAATTAGTGCGCACACATCCTAAAGTACGCTGCAGTCGTAGGCACTCTTGATAATATAACTTTATGTGAATGCTCCCCTTCTGATCCCCGAACAATGACGCCATCACCTTTCTACATGGAAAGGAACCCGTAAAATGTTAATGGGCGGCAGAGAGCTAGTGTGTTTTGATTCCGTCCTGGAAAGTATTGATTTCTGAAGTGTGGCGATAAACTCGGCTCTGATCAAGTGTGGCAATGTATTCTAGGAATGTTTGTCCTTCTGTTGTGAAAGGAGCGAGCAGCTCGGGGTAGATGCACATCCAGTCACGCTTGCCGAGAGCAATGACCCAACTGGCAGACACAATGTGAAAGTTCGAGTGGGCATGGCATCAGTTTCAGCGCTGCCAATGCTCATTCACGTTCCTATTGCAATTGCACGAACGGTAACACGGCAATCGGAAAGAATCACGCTTTCCACGTGCTTCATGTTGGCAGGTGTCAAAGCACTCTATTTGGGCCCTACCATGCCGACATTATCCATCACACGTGTGAGACCGCCCTTTAATGCGTGCACACCAACCAAACACGGTGCATTATCCGAGCGTTGCATCTACAAAACTGTGTGTAACCCAGGGGCGGTTTCTTCATTAGGGCGTTGGGCGATGCACCACCAATCTCATTCAACCACAGTTACGCGAGCCGTTACTGTGCCTCTAGATATAGTCCAATCAGCATCATGTCACGTTCTGTGGAGTACCGCCTCTTTTTGGGCGATTTCACTCCGGCTGAGAATCGCCCAGAGTGTTCCCATAGACTTACATTCAAAGATGTTTTTTTTCGAACGGCGGGCGCTGCAATGCATTCTCTATGGCTTCCGGGAGGGCTCGCACTAACGTGCTTACGTCATCATACGTAAGCACGTTTCAGTCAACAATATTACGAGTCGCCACCTAGTAGAATCTTTAATTAAAGAAACTGAGTGGATTGTAATAATAGTGAGTATAGAAACAAACAAGATGTATTGTAAGTCACTTTATTTTTCATTAATATTAAAGAAGTGAAGTTGTCTTTACATGCTTAAGCTGTTAATTTATCCATTGCATGGGTGGACCTTATCCTTATCAATCATTCAGACATTTGCCCCCCCTGAGAGATTTTGCAGGAGCCGCCACTGGTGTAACCCATCCCCATTATGCCTCACTCTTCTTGGCCGCGATCTTTATTGAGTGCATCGGGGTGGCTATCAATAAGTCAAAATGCATTTTTGGTCGTACTCTAGCGTTGCCTTCTTTATTCCTCTCGCTACCTCCGTGGCGCACGCACTCACTCTCGCGTGGCCACGCGCACAGGGAACTTCCAAAAGCTGGTGTAGAGCTTCAACCGATCCGGTTACATGTGTAGTGGTGTTAACTACTCGCTGTTCGCAAACTGTGAGAGAGCGGATCGTAAACAAGGTTTTCCCGCTCAATCAAACGGTCAGGGTCAAAGGGGGTGAGGTAGGATCCAAACGCCAAATTGGGAAGGACCAATCGGAGGGTCCCACAAGGTGGCCGGGGATTGGACAACCCGGCCACGAACAGGTATAAAAGCCAGAGCGCTGAGCGCTCTTGGCCAGTTCTGCTACACGAAGACCCAAGTCGGCCGAAGACATCTAGGACCCTGGACCAAGCCCTCCAGCCCTTATCAGGGCTAGGGCTCAGAGTAACCAGTGGTCGGGGAGAGATCCCCTAGGTCCAGCCAGAGGACGCTGGGATAGCAGGGAGATTAGATAGCCTGCAAGGTCCGGAGGCTGTGTCTCCTCAGGGTAACGGGTGAGAGGAAGATAATAAACAGTGTGTGCCATTAAGAAGTTAGAAGTCCGTCCTTTACAATACTGCACCGCGTGTCACCTGTGAATCTCAGCTGACTTGACGTCTTCATGCACAATATGCTTCGTCACTACTCTCTGTTCCACTACCGGGCTGACCTCACCGTTTGCCATATTTTTTCACACATGACGCAAAACGTCGCCTGTTATATATCCTTTTCCTTTTAAGGCAATTTTAATGACGAATGTGCTGAGTTAGTTTTGTTGCCTTCAACGCAGTCTGCATCACAAATAATAAGCCACCTGGAGGCTGCTGTTGTCAAAGGATACACTTTTATACATGGCTGCCTGAAAGCCTGGTCATTATATTGCACCGTCCCCACTAACAAAAGTGCAGAAATCACATTTTCCACCAACACACATGATGATGATATGGTTGACATGTACGTTTTTTTATTGTTTTATATTGGCTTTGTGTTCATTATTGTACGAAACATATATACAGTACTGTCTTACATCAGTGAAAGCAATCTTATTTCTGAGATCAATGGTGTAACAATACCTGATATTACAAATTCTAAATTTTCACATTATTAATCAATAGTTATACAGTAATTCTACTTATAATTATAAATTATAACTTATCAGGCAGATAACATTTTCACCCATTGTACTTACGACAACGTGATGGATTATATCGCAGAAAATGCCTTTGAATGAAAGTAAAGAGGCTGATCTATAATACAAGCTGCCTCAGATCTGAGAACGTTGTCCAGAGTGTGGTTAGCTTTTTGATCAAGGGGCAAGCGTTGGCTGTTTTGGCCGATATGATTCTGGAAGATTTGGCTTAAATATGATTTTGGATCCAGCGAAATAACTAATTAGGCTATTACGTTTTGAGTGTGTTCATTTGGACACGTACGTGTGTACACATCTGAATCCTTGTCGAAATTTGGAAACTATATATAATTGTATGTGTATGAGTATGTGTTGTATGTGAAAAGGTCCTGGAAATGATTATATTATTCAACATCGCCTTACCAGGCACGCTGAGGAGAGGCTTGCGCAGCTCCAATGCGGTTTCAGGAAAGGGCGGTCCTGCACAGATGCCATACTTTCTGTCCGTCTGCTACAGCAGAGGTGTAGGGAATTCCAACAAGACCTGGTTCAGAAGGATGTGGAGCTGAGTGGTGTCAAGATCGGCCTATGTGGAGGAGGCACATGAAGGATCCTACTGGGCAGGAGGAGGCAGTTCCCCTCCAGAAAGAGCGAGCGGAGTGCCAGGCGGCTAAAAGGCATCAAGGTGGCACAGTGGGGAATGCAGGTGGTACATCTGCCAGTCATCTCAGTCAACCCATAACACCTGGGTTTGTCCCGTGACCTGTTCGCAACGAGCCTTCCACACTGCACGTGGCCTCAAAGTGCACCTTGCCTGGCACAACCGCCGTGGTTATGTCACCGCCACTTAGTAACAAACGGCAGTTGCTGTTTTAAATGAATGTCAAAGACCGATTCCCCATATAGACGTTAACATGCTGTTGGGGCAAATGCTGTTAGCGAGAACCTATGAAGTCCGGCATGGCACATGAGTTGAGTGGGTGGCCAATACCATGCCTGGCTGTGTTTGTCTCCCCAGTGCTTACACACTGCACCATATAGTCATGTTTACACACTGCACCATATACTCATGTTTACACACTGCACCATATACTCATTGAAGGCTGAGTCGACTTAAATATTCGCCACTGTTATCGATTGTGAGCGGGGCTCAAAACTCAGATTTCCGGGTTCGTAGCGCAGTGTGCTAACCACAACATTACCGCTCCCCCTCCAACAATACATCACGCCCTTAAGACAGCTTCCAATTGATTTTGTTATTATAAGTTTTTGTGTCTCAATCAGCAACAATTGTTCCTGTGGAAATTAAAATGATGGAAGAATACGGGCATTATCTTTTTATATAATAACACGTGTAACACTTCCTTACCTGATTAAATCCTATTTAAAACCCTTAAACTATATGTAATGGATGCAACAAACGGAGGTGATATTTAAACAAACTGATTTTTACTTATATTGCTGGTGTGGACATGGTGGCGGGAGGGGGGGCAGTGTAGTGACAGGAGTGAGATGGCTATCTTAGAGAACGCTGAAGAGCTTTTTCATTTCTTGAGAGATGTTACATCCTTGTAGCTTCATGTCCAGTAGGTAGAAGTCAGCCTCCTCCAGTGCATCTCTCTTCCCACGCCCAGTGTGGTCATCCTCTTCTGTCCTGTGGGCACAATGCAGCAATAACAACCACGTCACTAAGTCTGCTTTTCAGGTCAACCTTAATCAGTGCAAGATCTACAAACGTCCTCTTAAAACCACCAAGACTTTTGACGGTTAGCCAAAGATTCACACAATGTGTTCATTTAAGACTAATTGTCAGTACAATCGGTGCTGCTACATATATATTAACACAATTCATAACAAGACAAATACAGCCCCACATTGGTAGCTTCCTCTCTGTATAAAAACCAACTATGAATGCCTGGTGGAAATAATTATCTAATAAACTGCACCCTAAAGACAATCTGGTCAAACTTGATTTGAAGCTTTAAGAAGAAGAATCTCGTCAGTTTTTACGTGATTTCTCAGTTCACAAAGGTCCCAGTTAATGAGTCAATTAAGATACTCGATGATGTGGTTAGTAATAAAGGTTTATCCAAACACATCCAACAAATTGGCAGAACACTACTTAAAGAACACTTTTTCCTCTCGAGTGTAGATATTTACACACACAAGGAAGGAGCAGCAATGGGTTTTCTTCGTCATCTGTTATTGCTCATCTATACATGAAAATATTTGCAGCAAAGCATGAGCTTCAAGCACATTAAACCCCTCTCATTGCTTCAGATTCGTGGATGACACACTAGTTGTATGACCCATGGTGAAAATACAATTCATGAATTCCTCAATCACCTCAGTTTACTGTGGAGGTGAAGGAGGCCAACACTCTCCCGCTCCTGGATAATCTGCTTGGTCATGACCCATATGGAAAGAAAATACACACTGATGCTTGTCTGAATGCACACTTTCATCATCACCCACGAGAACAAAAAACCCTGTCATCAAAACGCTCAAACATTGGGCAAAAACAGTCATGTGATGAAAGTCTGAATAGTGAAATCAAACGTGTCAAAAAACACGCTGAGATGGATAAAATAATTCGCAAATTAACAGAGCACTGAGTGTTAAAAATAAGTAAGGTAATACAAGCGATGACAATGCAAATGTACCCAAAACAATTAAACCTCTGTGTACGTATTGTATGAGCCACTTTTAAATCGTCTAGAATTTTGGAAAAACTTAAAAAATCTGGGTGAGATTTTCCACAGTACCCAAAAATACAACTGTTAGATAGGTTAACGTCTGATGATGCTGGCTATAACTGCCAGTGAAATGTCGTACCCAAATGTTAAGTGCTGTGGATTGCTCTCCAACACACCGGTAGTGCTAAACCAGTAATACATTGACACGTCTTGTTTGCGTCAAAACTTTAATATTTGCCTGTGTCGGCTGGAGAAATGATTACAGTGTACATTTTACTTACGCGATCTGATCAAAAAATCAATGATGAATCAGCATTGGTATAATGTAAGCACATTCTGAACTGGTTTCTACATTCCAAATCTTATCATCAGTCAGGCTTGCTTATACTAACGCTGTAAAACTGCCAGATGTTCATCGGCAAGGGCCCAAAGCATATCGGTTTTTTTTTTCATGTACAGAGACATGAGAAGCAGGGATATTATCCCCTAATTTATTTTGTTACCTTATATTCACCAGAACGCTCATGATCATTTGGTGTTATCCATCAACACATGAGGCATGTAATTATTCACCCGTGCCGCTCTACCCTGCCATGATGTGAACTTTTACAAATCTCGATTGTGAGTCGACTAATTTTTTTTTTCTCATTTGTACGTTCTTATTGAACCAGTCTCTCTCAATGTTCTTTTCTTGTTTGAACTATCCAGTTCATTCAAATAGGTTAAATTTAAGATTCCAAATACATTTGTATAAACGGGTAATAATTTATTTGTACATTCACCCTTCGATGAAAGTATCGTGATCGTAACAAGCGATTTTACTCTTTTTATTCTTTGGTTCTTTCGGTAAAGTCAAGTAGATAGATTTTTTTTTATATTTTTTATATCTACGTGACTTTACCGAAAGAAACAAAGAATATTAATTATTGCAGTCACAGAAGTTTTAAGTCAAAATTTAAGCGATTTTACTCAATGAATCGTTAAATGCCTATGTGGCACCCTCTGCAGAATGCGAGTCAAACTGTCCATGTTCTCTATGTTGCAGCGTATGTGTGCACGAGTACAGAGATGACGTGATACTCACACAAAGACGTGGTAGAGCATCCTCTCGGAGAGGGCACAGAGGGCACTGAAGAGGTGCAAATCAAACTTGCTGTTGTTGTCAGCGCCGACGATGTCAAGGACGGTGTTGATTTGAGCAGCTCCGACTGTGTTGCCATGCACCTTGCTGAGAGCCTGTTGACAATCCTGCACACGTCACCATGACCGCCACCACCATACACATGGTGACCTCTCTTTACATCAGATTTGAAGCTTTCGTGACTGCAAGGATTCATATTCTTAGGTTTTTTTTCTCAGTCCCATTAGCAGCAGCCGCACATTAACAACTCTGGCACCTCCCCCTCTCAACCAGTCTACATAACAAAGGCTCAGTCCTTTGTTATGTAGACTAGCCGTAGCTTCAGCCGCACCAACCTTATCATAATAATTAAAATAACTCCTATCCAGGGGCCTACCCTGGCTCCTCCCCCCTCAACCAGTATATGTGTAAAGTAGGAGCCGACACCAGATTGCAGGGGTCTCGTCCTTTATTCCTTTCCTTCCATCCACACCTGTCCCCAGTCGTCCCAATCTCGTTCCCGCCAAAGGCCCCTTCTTCCCGCCCGTTCTCTCCTTATATCTCCTCGATCACCCCTCCCACTAACCCATCTATTGGTGGGAATCCTTCCCCTGACACCCCTACATCTGTGCAAGGTCGGATCTCTTGGAATTTCTCATTTACTTGATACAGCTAGCGTGCTGTGACGGTTCCACCTGAAGACGGAAGCTTGTGTTGCCTCCGAAACGTCGTGATTTTTATTTTATTTTACTTTTATTCATTTAAATTTAATTTTTTTACCTACGTGACTTTACCGAAAAAACCTAAAAATATAATACCTCTCTTTACAGTTTAACGTAACCAACCTCATCCAAACTCAGAGCTCCCGTCCTGAATTCTGTAAAAGTTTCAGGAGTTTCTACATTTATCACACCTCTATTCTACGCTGATGTTCTTCCTCTTTTGATTTCGAATGGCGTTTGAAAAAAGCAACAGACTACAATTGTGCTTACATTTTTTGTAAAACATTACACGACTTCTGGCCAAGCTGAGTGGAAATAAAGTACGATCGTTATCTTTCGTGCACAAATTATTGATAATCTTATTGCATTATGTTTACACTGTGTTAAACATGTATGTAATCTAGACTTAACATTTTTGCAGGTATTTGAAAATTTGAACAGGCATATGAAAGAACAGTGACGTGAAAAAGATTTTTTCCCCCTTAAATAAATTACTACTCTGGGATGCGATTATAAAAGATAAACTATAATTGGGTATTCCCCTCGATAAACTACTTTCAAATATAGACTGAGTGGTCATCTAGCAGAGAGGCTGAACAATCACAATGCCTTTGTACACATATCAGTGTGACCTTGTAGGAGATGAATCCATGTTTATCCAGGTGCATTTGGATGAAAATGCATTGATAGTGATTGCGTCTTCTCCGGTCTACGGTGCAGTAATGCAGTAGGTACTGCCGTGGAGTTATGCCTGTAGGGACGATATGGAAAACATATCATGCAATAATAGGGTTTTCCCCTTTTTTCTGGCAACAAAACTGAAACCTTTTTACGAGGAATCATGTGTGCATTAACCACAACACTTGTGGTCAAAATGCAAAAAAAACACAGATAATATATGCATTGTCCTTGAAACTGATTGGTCCACACCAGAGACGGCTTTCTTTTGAGCCTCGTCTCAATTGGTGCTATCTTGGTACTGGCGAAGGAGGTCTAATGATGTAGACACATCATGCAGTTACATAGTCTGCACAACCTGCAGATAAAAAGGTCAGCACTGGCTACAAATAATGAAGCAGTTAATCCCATTCCATGTTAATGAAAGGTCATCATCGTCAACTATAGCCACAGTTTATGCACTGCTGGATGAAGGCATTCCCAATCCGCTGTCATCTCTCACGATCCTACAAAAACATGTAATCTCTTTTCTGCAAATGATTTCATCATTCTATCTGCTTGGTGGATGTCCTTTCCAACAACTTGCATTCCTCGGTCTTTCTCAGGCCCACTTACTTTTCAGTTTGAATTATGTCAAAGACCTGTGTATGTTCTCGAATACGTGTCCCTATTTCTGTTTCGTTCTGTAATTGAAGCATACATCTCTCCATGCTTTATGCACGTTTCAGTTTTTAGTCAATGTTTGGCCATAATGACCACGTTGCTGAATCATGACATAACAAGTTGTAAGTGCATAATCAAATCAGGCTGCACACTACAAATTCATAATCATCAGTCCATTGCTTTGAAGCTGTTTATTTCTTTGTTTCCATTTGTGTCCCTCCAACAATAGTGGGTTTTTTTGTTCAACAAAGCAGAAATAATTGGAGAAACAAAAGCATACACAGAAAGAGAAAATGTTCGCCGTGTTAGAATGGCTGCCAACGTAGTCGATGTAACAGCATCATTATAACGTAACAGACAAGGAAAGTATAAGGGCATCCGTGGTCATTGAAATTTGCATGCACTTTTAAACAGCCCTCTAGGCACGCTCGTATTTAATATATTACAGTATTTAGATTAATTGGCTGCTTTAAATTTCCACGTGATAAGCCACTTCGTTGAGCTATCGTTTGTGGCCAGGTCGCTTCTGAATTAGAAGCTAATAGCTAAGTGGGCTTTACCTGCAAAAATTAAAAAAATAGTTTTTTTGTGATTTGCTAACCTTTCTCTGTCGTGTTTTAGTATTGATTGTTGTTGTAACTTTCTGACCCACCCCTTTTGGACATCTGGGAAAAAGAGCTTCATCGCTCATTGGATTCCTCCAGCATGAATAAATATTCTTATTCTGAATAACGACTGCAGTACAGTCTGGGTTATGGAAACCAGCGCTGATGAATCCGTAGTAATATTCTGACTGATGAAGCATTTGTTGCAGCGATAAAGCCAAACTTGACAATGCAGCACGACCCAGGTTTAATTTCAATGCCCGATCACAATGCACGTAAACAATTGGACAACATTACAAGCTGGGTGTATCAAGACTGGTCACTGGGAAAGGATGGGGTAATGATGTACACGTGTGAAGGAAGTCTAATTTACCTTCCAGACCGCGAATGTCTACTGGAAGCCGGAAGTGGCAGATGAGCTTGGAAGCAGCCAGGCGAGTATGAGTGTAATTCATCTCCTGTGCCAATGTAAGTTGCACAATCAGAATGGTTAAGCAGTAACATTTATATTCTTAGGATTTTTCGGTAAAGTAACGTAGGTAAAAAATTAAAATTAATAAAAGTAAAATAAAAGAAAAATCACGACGTTTCGGAGGCAACACAAGCCTCCGTCTTCAGGTGGAACCGTCACAGCCCGACAGCTGTATCAAGTAAAACTGAAGACGGAGGCTTGTGTTGCCTCCGAAACGTCGTGATTTTTATTTTATTTTACTTTTATTAATTTAAATTGTTTTACCTACGTGACTTTACCGAAAAAACCTAAGAATATGAATCCTTGCAGTCACGAAAGCTTCAAATCTAGAATCAGTAACATTTAGTGCATGTGTAGAGGCATTAATCGGCACTTCCCATTCTGTTGGCTGGTAGTTCCCCCTTCTCGGCAACAGGAGGCGGAAGCGCTATCACGTCACTGTTAGTGACCGTGGCCCAAAGGGGCAACCACAATCCCTGGGAAACGGATCCTGGGACACAATCCCCGGACCCCGGGAGGGGGGACTGGGGGATGATGTCATACTCTTAGGTTTTTTCGGTAAAGTCACGTAGGTAAAAATTAATACAATAAAAGTAATAGAAATAATAGAAATACAATTATAAATCACGCCGTTTCGGAGGCAACACAAGTCTCCGTCATCAGGTGGGACCGTCACAGCTATATTTACTGTATCAAGTGAGGCAAAAATTCCAAGATACAAGTTCTTAAATACAAGTGGGGAGGAGGGGGGGAGGGGCTTATCTGAATGTGGTAGCCAATGAATGGAACGTATTGGGGGGGGGGGGGGGGGGGTGGGGCTAAAAGAGAACAACAGGTGCACATGTTGTTTTACCCAGTATTGGTTGACTATATATATAAAATCGCGAATCTGTCTGTCTGTCTGTGGGTCGCCGGACCATACGCAGTTTCATTGGACGGCGGTTGCCCCTGGCAACGGGTAGCGACGCCTTCGCCGCTTTCATTGGACGGCGGTTGCCCCTGGCAACGGGTAGCGACGCCTTCGCCGCGGGGTGGACGCCATTTTTAATTCCCGTTAAAAATAAGCGCACGCATTAACACGCGACTCTGAGGTAAATTCATCAAAGTTTCACGTCCTCTTCACTCCCCCTCCACCACAATGTGTGCAATTACTATTATAGGGTCGGTATATTATAAAATTATAGCAATTAGACAGTATTATTGTAGCGCGGGGGGGGGGGGGAACGCCACCCGTACCCAGCCTCAGCCGGATGGGCAATTTAGGCGAGGCCGGAGGCTCTGCACGGTGCTAGGCCTCGACACCCACCACGCGACTTTGAGGTAAATTCATCAAAGTTTCACGTCCTCTACAGAGTGGTGAGGGAGGGAGAGTGGTGAGGGAGGGAGAGTGGTGAGGGAGGGAGAGTGGTGAGGGAGGGAGAGTGGTGAGGGAGGGAGAGTGGTGAGGGAGGGAGAGTGGTGAGGGAGGGACTCAGCCTCAAAACGAGTAACTGGTGTGGCGTATTAACATCGCCACTGGGGAGACAAAGGCGGCCGGGCGTGGTGGATACAAGTCCCGGGCGAAGCCGGGTAGTACAGCTAGTCCAAATACAAAGAGGAGAGTACTGTTACCTACGTGACTTTACCGAAAAAACCTAAGAGTATGAATCCTTGCAGTCACGAAAGCTTCAAATCTGGATGATGTCATCTTCCAGAAAGTTCTGGAAGGGAGGCGTGGCTAGGGCGGAGCAAGCCACGAACCAGTATATAAGCCGGACCTCTCAAGGGACCTCTCAAGGGTCCGGCTCAGTCACCTCCAAGTCGAAGACTGAAGACCTGGGCTGAAGTTAGGACCCTGGACCCCAAACTCCGTCGTCCTTCTAAGGGCCGGAGCTGAGTGAGGCCAGTGGTCAGGACCCTGGCACGGTCGGGTCAGCATAGCCTCCCCTAGGGCCCCCAGCCGGAGGACAGGGAATTAACGGGGTCCCAGTGTGAGGGCCCGTGTAGTCCGTAGGCCGTACCTCTCCCCAGGTATCGGGTGAAGGGGCCGCTACCCCTTTGTGTTAGGAACCCTGTAGAATAGAGTGTTCATAAATATCGTGTTGCCTCACAAAGAAGTTCTCCGCCAATTATTTACCCACTACACGTGCACTCAAACCGTCCATGACCCAAACATATAATCTGATACAAAGACAATAAATTTCGATTATAAGCTTTCGTGACTACAGGGATTCATCTTCTTGGTTCTTTCGGTAAAGTCACGTAGAAGGGAAGTAATAAAATAATAAAAATAAAACATTATAAAACATTATTATGTTTTATTTGTATTATTTTATTACTTCCCTTCTTCGTGACTTTACCAAAAGAACCAAGAAGACAAAGACAATAGTTTTCCAGGAGCCAAATATAGCAAACTGGTAAATGAATGCTGAATGATAACTTAGTAGCCATGACTGGTTGGATTTTGAATGTTGCAGTAAATGTAGATCTAATTTATCAAGCTTACTTGAATAGAACGTACGTAAATATCTTGATTTCGTAACAAAACTATGGGATAGATATTCTCATATTTTGGTACTGGCAAAGGAGGTCCCATGATATATATTTGAAGTTAGAGCATATTTCTGCAATGTAATCTGCACACATTTATTCTAAAACATTAATCGAAAACTACTGTTAACATAGAGCAGAGCACACTGACGATGAATTCAATGTCTATTCAAAACAATGCCATTTACCAATAAATAAATAAAGCTCAACACATTCGTTAATACCAACGCCTGAAAATAAATATGTATAATGAGTCACGTTTCACACTAATGTATGTGTTATGAAGAAGGGGCCATTATATATTTATTTTTAAGGGAATGCTATTGACGAATATGTCGAGGTTGTTTTTAATTGTGCTTGTGCACCACAGCCAATGCAACATCACGAAATAAGTTGTTTGATGTACAATCCAGTGGCCTGTATTTCTGCACATCAACAGCACCCCGGGGTGTATTTTTTAAATCCTTTATATTAAGTTCACTTGCTTGCTTGCTTGCGCGCTTACGACCGTGCAAATCTTTCGGTCGTTTTTTAACCCACTTCCCGTGATCCAATCGAGCTGACATTTTGCACACATACTCGTTGTGCGCGACAATTTATTTTCGTGAAAAAAAATTAGAAAAAAATTCCACTTTTTAGGAAAAACATTTTTTCACATTTAATTTAAAATACCAATGTGATAAAAATGAAACTCTTACTCAAGAAAAACAGAAATGAATAATAAAATAAAACCGATGCCACGCATATAAAGGATTTATAGTGAAAAACTTAGTTTTTACGGGTTAATTTTTGCGGAAGTGCTATTGCATTTAGCCGTGGCAAAATGATAATCGTATTGAATAAATTCTGGCAATCCATAACACAATAAAAAATTATTACTTATAAAGTTTTAATTATACCTCTGAAATACATACAGCTTTTTCAAATATTAACATTCACAAAGCTTATACAACTCACAAAACCAGCTTTGCAAAAGCAATCGCAAAGGCATACTTAACTCTTTCATATATTTGCATCAACCCAACATTTGTTTAAAAGCTGTTGTAGGCGTGTAAATGATGCTTGAGACTCCCATGACATTCCATCGCCATGTTGTAACGTGTGATTTATGAATACGCCGAGTGTATGCTCGTCCCTTACCAGGTTTTTATAATTCCCCACGCTCATGAAGTCCTGGGTGTCATCACGCAATGTTTGGCTCTGAAAAGCAGCCATCCTCTCCTCGAGATCCGTCTGTTACACAATACGGCAATATTCGTCGGCTTTCATTCACAAGCTATACACACAACACACATCATGTGTTTTCTCAAGTATCAAGTTGGGACACAAGTTGGGAAAAGCAAATAACCTAACCCAGTTCAAACAACAACAACCTTTACTAGCTGCCATAATAGCTGCTGCCAAAATTATATCAGTGTGGAACAAGACACTACCCAGAAGCATGCTGAGAACCCCAACCACAAATAGAAGATGAATTATGACTGACTGACCAATATTTATCATTGGGCTGAAATGTTTGTAAAGGAAGCCCACAAATTACAGACTATCACTCATGCCCTGCTGTCCACCTGTGTGCAGTACCTGTTGGTCATAAATGAGTGCACTCTTTGGCCTTGATGGAGCTGGTCCACCCCCTGCCTCCTTGCCATGCTGTTTTCTCTTCCTTTTCGCAGGTGATTTGCCAGAGGTTGATCGCTTTGATTGAGGTTTCCTGTAAGTAGAATCGTCCAGCATTGCACGGTGTTTACATTATGAGTTGCCTAACAAAGGTTAGCTGTTAGATGACGTGGCTATCCTCATTGTGAATATTCAAGATATATTGAGCTACCACGGGCTGAAGTATGAAAGATATTGGAAATTGAAAGAACGCTATGTAGCTGATGAGGCAGTGATTTTAAGACGAAAGTATTTTTTGTTTCAAACCTAAATTCCTTTTTTCGTCTTGTTTGTGATGGTCACCAGAAAGCGAAGACTTAATACAGAGGCCAAATTGAGAATCAAGCAGCGAAGTAATGAGAGCAAACATAAGTGCCGCACTGTGTGTATGCCAATTCTCACAGATTAAAAACAAATACATGGCATGAAAAGTCTGGAAGAATATGGACTTTGCCAGGAAGGGTAATGTGTTTTAAAGCACGGTGAACGATTAAAATATCCAAAAGCCTTATTTAAGCAAAACATAGCAAAGCTGCACATGCTGAAGGCAACGATTTACGTATCATTTATGTATCGTCATAGGTTCGTTTGGGAAATTATAAATGTGCAATGTAAATATGACTATTTACAATGCATTTAAAAACGAATTTACATCACGTTAACAATTTTGAACACAATTATTACAGGGATAAAGCATGCATGTGAGTTAAATGTAATCAACTATTTGAGCAATACGAGTGCAGATTATGAAGGACACGGTGTCAGTAGTGAATTTACTTTTGTGATTTCCCCATTGTTCCTGCTGGTGTTCCACAGACACAGGTTGACTGGGTGAACCAGCGGAGCCTTTGCTGCAGAAATTGAGAAAGCAAGCAGACAATTCATTCGTGCGGCGCACCTACAAATGTGGCAACACCATAAGGACATCGCTCAACGTGCGCACAGAAACCCAAAGCGATACATGTACCACAAATATATCATGCTTTTTTTCTACACATATAAATATCCCTTTTTGGCTGAATGTTAAGGGTTTATCAAATCGGCATAACGTTTTAGTTTACCTTTTTTTATGAAAGTTTTTGAAACTAGAAACACTGACAATAGTACCTTGTATAGATGTATATAGCGCCTTATTCCAAAGAGCTTTACTGTAATCGTAAAAGTGTACATCAGATGATGGTGGTTGAAATAAAGAGTGGGGTTATTTAGAAGTGGTGGTGTAGTTATGGTGACAGGAGAACAGGTGGGAGTGGTTAACACAGGCTTGGAGTATGCCTGGCCGTAGCTGGAGGGGGGGAAATCATCATCGACAACGCAGCTACATCACTGTAGCCCTAAAGTGGATGTGTAACCACTGTATTACACCGCCTCTCAAGAAAGCCAATAATAAAGTGTTGGCAAAGTGTCACAAGGACTTGAGTAAAGAATGGAAAATTGGTTTTCTGAGAGGGTGAAAACTTCGTGAAAGATGGAATTTATAGATCTGGTTATCGATCCACTGTGCATTAACCTTGATGACCTCAAAGGTATTTTAGAAAACATATCAACGTGTATTGTTTTAACACGGGATTCTGCAACACTGTACGGTATGTATTTTTATTCACAAGGGGTGTATAATTTAATGTTGTATTTCTGGTCTGCAGTGCTTTTAATTTCGACACTGTATTTACTTTGTTTGATTATACTAATACTTTACCCGAAATGTATGTGGCACCAAAGCAGTTTTGGGGAGTCGTACTACAGAAGGGGAGTTCTCAAACTCAAACAAGTCTTATTATTTGGGTCTTTCGGTGAATATAAAATTGATGCATCACATTTTGTTTCTAAGGTTGGTTGAGTTCTCGTCTCCCATCTTCTTGTTGTATTTGCCTCCGTGCAGTTCGCCGTTCTCTGTGTGCTCTGTGCGAGATGTCCCCCTGTGTGTTCCCTCGCTGTGTGTTTTACCCCATTTACACCTGATGATGATCGCTTGTATTGCGTTCGAAACGTCGTGATTTATTTTAATTTTATTTAGTTACATTTTACTTTATTTCTACATACGTGACTTTACCGAAAAAACCAATGAGTATAGTCTTTCGGTAAAGGCACGTAAATAAAAAAATAATAATAAAAAATTATAAATATCACGACGTTTCGATCACAACACAAGCAATCGTCATCAGGTGATCAGGTGATGACGCTTGCTTGTGTTGCGATCGAAGCGTCGTGATATTTTTATTTTCCTATCTACGTGACTTTACCGAAAGACCCAAAGAATATGAATTCCTGCAGTCACGAAAGCTTCAAGTCAAGATTCAAAAGACTCTGTCTCTCACGGTGATCAATGTACTCCTGTACAGCCACAATTAATGTAACACAACCGTGCTCACAATTCACCTTCCTTGCTCGGTCAACCTCCCTACATTGACACAAGTGCCTAATGCAACATTTACCCATCAGCTGCCGTCTCTTCCAGCAAACACCAAACCATGGCCAAGGCCGCTCAATTTACATTCATGCTTACTCTTTGGTTCTTTCGGTAAAGTCTACCTACGTGACTTTACCGAAAGAACCAAAGAGTATGGATTTCTGCAGTCACGAAAGCTTCAAATCAAGATTACATTTTAGATTTGAAGCTTTCGTGACTGCAAGGATTCATACTCTTAGTTTTGTCGGTGAAGTCACGTAGGTAAAAAAAAAACGAAATTTAAATTAATAAAAATAAAATAATAAAAAATCACGACGTTTCAGAGGCAACACAAGTCTCCGTCATCAGGTGGGATACAGCAAATCTGGCTGTGACGGTCCCACCTGATGACGGAGACTTGTGTTGCCTCCGAAACGTCGTGATTTTTTATTATTTTATTTTTATTAATTGAAATTTCATTTATTTACCTACGTGACTTTACCGAAAAAACTAAGAGTAAGATTAAATTTGTGCTGTTTACCTTTTAGGCTTATTTGACAGGCGTCTACTGCCTCCCATTTACACTTTGAACTATCCTTATTTTAAAAAAAAACGGTGTTTCTTTTCTAAAAGACGTGTCATCTCAGTTGGTTCTCACCTGGTTTAAAACCCTGATCTTGCTTGATATGGGATGGCGTGTTGTCATCCCGTAAGATATCTCTCTGCCTGTTGAAAAGGGATCAACACAAGTTCATAATAATTAATTATTGGGTCAATAATGGGCGGTACAAAACCATAGATCAAACGTGGAATCCAAGACCTCATCATGCCATGAAATACACCCCCCCCCCAACAACACAAACACATGAGCACACCTTCAGTAAATTCATAGATTCCATGAAGCGAAAGAACCCCCAAGAGATGATCTGCTCGAGTCCCCTGCACGTGTTCCCACTCCGTGCACAGACCACGCAATCCACTGCTGGATGAATGCGTCCTCTTCCACGCTGGGGGGGGGGGGGGGGCATGGGAATGATGTTTGTCTGCGCTCCCGACACGATTCGTCGCTCGCTCCGTGCGCTCAACCACTGGCATCCACCAACTCCACCGGGCGGCACTTTGCCAGTGAACTCCTCCGTCACACATTGATCAACAAAATCAATACCGTAGTAGTAGTAGGTTTTTACCCTTTAAACTGGTACAAAAACTGACACCTTGATACAAGCATCGTGTTTGCAACGCAAGCAAGTCAAAATGCATTTTGACTGCTCGCGTTATGGTTATTGCAAACACGATGCCTTGTATAAAGGTGTCAGTTTTTGTACCAGTTGAAAGGGTTAAAAACCTACTACTATATTTTGCCGCTGCTAAAGGAGATGTCTCATAGTGAAAATCAATACCAATAGCAAACGCGGTCACCCTGTTGAGACGAGCCGAGCCTGTCGACCTGTTGAAGAGTATGCGCATGGCTCGAACCGGCTTCGGGGATTCCGCTGACCTAGCAACGCAATGACGAGTTGACACCCATCAACATCGCCAGCAACAACAACAGCAGCGGGAGGAGGAGCAATAAAACAACACGAGTTCACATCCTGACCCTGGGTGGGGGTCGCGCCGCGGGAGGTCCGAGTTTGTTTGCTCTGCGCCGCGTCGGCTCTCTGTGTGTGTAGCCGCTCATGTCAACAGCGGTGAGTGTAGGGTTACACGTTAACAGTGGTGAGTGTGGGGTTACACGTTAACAGTGAGTGTAGGGTTACACGTTAACCGTGAGTGTAGGGTTACACGTTAACAGTGAGTGTAGGGTTACACGTTAACAGCGGTGAGTGTGGGGTTACACGTCAACAGCGGTGAGTGTAGGGTTACACGTTAACAGTGGTGAGTGTAGGGTTACACGTCAACAGCGGTGAGTGTAGGGTTACACGTTAACAGTGGTGAGTGTAGGGTTACACGTCAACAGCGGTGAGTGTAGGGTTACACGTTAACAGTGGTGAGTGTAGGGTTACACGTCAACAGCGGTGAGTGTGGGGTTACACGTCAACAGCGGTGAGTGTGGGGTTACACGTCAACAGTGGTGAGTGTGGGGTTACACGTCAACAGCGGTGAGTGTAGGGTTACACGTTAACAGCGGTGAGTGTGGGGTTACACGTCAACAGTGGTGAGTGTGGGGTTACACGTCAACAGCGGTGAGTGTAGGGTTACACGTTAACAGCGGTGAGTGTGGGGTTACACGTCAACAGTGGTGAGTGTGGGGTTACACGTCAACAGCGGTGAGTGTAGGGTTACACGTCAACAGCGGTGAGTGTAGGGTTACACGTCAACAGCGGTGAGTGTGGGGTTACACGTTAAAAGTGGTGAGTGTGGGGTTACACGTCAACAGCGGTGAGTGTAGGGTTACACGTCAACAGCGGTGAGTGTGGGGTTACACGTCAACAGCGGTGAGTGTAGGGTTACACGTTAACAGCGGTGAGTGTAGGGTTACACGTCAACAGCGGTGAGTGTAGGGTTACACGTTAACAGTGGTGAGTGTAGGGTTACACGTTAACAGCGGTGAGTGTAGGGTTACACGTCAACAGCGGTGAGTGTGGGGTTACACGTCAACAGCGGTGAGTGTAGGGTTACACGTCAACAGTGGTGAGTGTGGGGTTACACGTCAACAGCGGTGAGTGTAGGGTTACACGTCAACAGTGGTGAGTGTAGGGTTACACGTTAACAGTGGTGAGTGTAGGGTTACACGTCAACAGCGGTGAGTGTGGGGTTACACGTCAACAGGGGTGAGTGTGGGGTTACACGTTAACAGTGGTGAGTGTAGGGTTACACGTCAACAGCGGTGAGTGTAGGGTTACACGTTAACAGTGGTGAGTGTAGGGTTACACGTCAACAGCGGTGAGTGTGGGGTTACACGTCAACAGCGGTGAGTGTGGGGTTACACGTCAACAGTGGTGAGTGTGGGGTTACACGTCAACAGCGGTGAGTGTAGGGTTACACGTTAACAGCGGTGAGTGTGGGGTTACACGTCAACAGTGGTGAGTGTGGGGTTACACGTCAACAGCGGTGAGTGTAGGGTTACACGTCAACAGCGGTGAGTGTAGGGTTACACGTCAACAGCGGTGAGTGTAGGGTTACACGTCAACAGCGGTGAGTGTAGGGTTACACGTTAACAGCGGTGAGTGTAGGGTTACACGTCAACAGCGGTGAGTGTAGGGTTACACGTTAACAGTGGTGAGTGTAGGGTTACACGTTAACAGCGGTGAGTGTAGGGTTACACGTCAACAGCGGTGAGTGTGGGGTTACACGTCAACAGCGGTGAGTGTAGGGTTACACGTCAACAGTGGTGAGTGTGGGGTTACACGTCAACAGCGGTGAGTGTAGGGTTACACGTCAACAGTGGTGAGTGTAGGGTTACACGTTAACAGTGGTGAGTGTAGGGTTACACGTCAACAGCGGTGAGTGTGGGGTTACACGTCAACAGGGGTGAGTGTGGGGTTACACGTTAACAGTGGTGAGTGTAGGGTTACACGTCAACAGGGGTGAGTGTAGGGTTACACGTCAACAGGGGTGAGTGTGGGGTTACACGTCAACAGTGGTGAGTGTGGGGTTACACGTTAACAGTGGTGAGTGTGGGGTTACACGTCAACAGCGGTGAGTGTGGGGTTACACGTCAACAGCGGTGAGTGTAGGGTTACACGTCAACAGTGGTGTGGGGTTACACGTCAACAGTGGTGAGTGTAGGGTCACGTGTTCAGTGAAGGTTGTCACTGTTCACAGCGGTGAGTGTGGGGTTACACGTCAACAGCTGTGAGTGTAGGGTTACACGAGTGGTCGGTGTAGTCACTGTTAAGTGGTTAGTGCAGAATTACCGTACGCGTCAACAGCGGCGAGTGTAGTCGACCTGCATGTCACGGTGGGTGCCGTTCAGGGCCACCGTTAACCGTGACGAGTGGTGGGGGTTGGTGGCACGTGGCAGCACGGCCTCTCTCTCTCTCTGAACCATTTGCGTGGTGGTGACATCACGTGGCAGCAGAAGCACGTGGGTGACGCGACCTTTAGGATTAATTTATTGACACTGGAGGAATCCGATGAGCTTCCGAGATCTTTTTCACAGACGTTAAAGGGTCGCACTGCAATGATGATGTAATAACGTATTTAATCTTCTTGGTAAAGTCACGTAGAAGGGAAGTAATAAAAATAAAACATAATAAAATAATTCTCACGACGTTTCTGAATGCGCTGTCTCCCCGACAGACCTGGTCTTCACTTGAGGACGGCTGCTTGCGTTGTGGCCGAAACGTGAGAATTATTGTATTGTTTTATTTTTATTATTTGATTACTTCCCTTCTACGTGACTTTACCGACAGAACCAAGAAGATGAATCCCCTGCAGTCACCAAAGCTTTAAATCGAAAAGTATTTAATGTGTATAGTTGTTTTATTAGATAGGTACATACCTGTCAACCGCTTAGTGCCTATCTTATTAGGGACCAATTCAGATATTGGTCACCCCCCTTGTGCCCTTGTAAAGCTCAGCGTTCATCTGACAAAGTTCCATCACAAGGGAGAAACAGACAAAAAGTGGTTCCCGTACTGAAGTGGCTGTACACCGTATGGACCTGAAAACTCGATTTCCCTGCACAAGAATAGGTATTGTTGTGTTTATTTACATGTTCAAATGCTGTTTATATATGCGATATACTGTATATTCCGTTATACAGTACGTGATATTTTATATCGATGCGACATAATGCATTTTCTACAATTAACTTTATAATTAAATCACGAATCAAAGCATTCCCAATTACAGTTGCACGTTTTAAGTTAGCTCATAACGGTTAAACAAGAAATGTATAAATATAATTCATATCCCAAATGAATTATAGAACACCAAGAAGAAAAACCAATGGCTTTTATTCTTCAACCCGTTTCATGTGCATCAAGGCAAGCAACTAATTTCTCAAAGTCTTCTAAAAAACAAATTTGGCTCGAATGGCTCTCCGCTGATCATTTAGCCAGTGGCATCAGAGCAACTTTTGGTTAACTTCAGATCGCCAAAACGGAGGGAACTCGCCATATAACTCATCGGCAAGTTGTGGCATGCAGGATCCTTATGAATCTTGTTACCAACGTTTAGCGTGGACCAGGAGTTGAACTAAATTGTATTTTAAAGCCCAGGTGATAGCCCATCAAAACATGTTCTTGTGCAACGGAGACCTGACACTCCTGGAGATTACGAGTGCAGGTACATCATTGGTAGAGTTTCAATATTTTTTTTTAATTATACAAATCTATTTTTTTGCTTTGCTTAATTAAATTTCATGTCAGTATTCAGAATGGACCACTGACCAATGCAAGCTACATGGTCAGGACCAGCTAAAATATGTATCAAATGTTTGCAGCAGAGAAATGCATGTCACCACCGTTCATAAATCACAGCACATTAACCACTCCAAGAAAAACCGCGTTCAACGAATTCAGAATCCCTTGAAAAAACACTGCAAATCTACAAAACTGGTATAGTTGCCATGTGCATGCACACTACGTACAGCTGAAGGCAGCATTATTATGCAAACCTATTGCAAAAATAAAAATTGGCTTCCGACAGGTCAGAAAAATCCTTGGGTTTGCAGCATCTCTGCACAACTGGGGACCGAGAATGACAACCAACACTGAAAGAAATTTTGTATTTGCTTATATTTATTCAATCGTGAATCACAAAATTCGACACTTCAAACCAGAACTGATGCATGCTCGAGACCAACGTGAATAAAGTTCCAGACTTGGTTTTCAAAAAAAATCTTCCTCCTCTCCATGACAATATTGCATTGGCAGTGTTTAAGCCACATGGTACACGTCTTAAACATTTTTAGGGGCATCCGATGCCATAAATACATCTTATTACAGCAATACATTGCAGTGCAAAAAGGTTACCCACCGTGGCTGGTACACAAACTAATAATATAGTGCATGACCAACAATCTAAAAATATACCGAGCATTTTGTATGCAAGTGTTTTGCTTTTCATAGTTCTACAAATCACGCGAGGCTGCAGAAATTCATTTGTGACGGCTCTTTTGTGAAGCCATCTCCAAACCCATCAGTCTCCTGCAGGACGGGCAGCTCATTGCACATCGGGCACTTTTTGTTGCGTAGGTACGAGCAACGCATCCACAGGATGAGGTTGAGGCGCTCGCCAGCCGTGATGGGCTTTGCGCCGTGCATTTGCTGACCCCGGTGCAAGATGCCGTAGCCCCTGCGGTGACCAACCTCCACGGATTCTTCCCCTTGTTCCTAGGGAATAATAAAAGTTTAAATTAAGAATAATTCTAAAATGCAACTGCATTCTCAAAACGTTACCCATTAGAAAACCGTGGGCATTTTTATACACTTTTATTTAACTCACTTCGTTTGTTGTATCCTAAAAAAAAAAAAAAATCTTGTAACTCAATTTTGACACTTTTCCCAATGTGCTATCGACTGCAAATGTCGTATAGGTATGTCATACTGATGACAATGCTATATTCTATCATTAAAAATAAAATATTTTTTTAAACAATCTTTTTAACGGCTCTAAGTGTTCACGCTCAACTGACGTTGCCTGTAAATCACCACGTGGTCCCTTACGTCACGGCAAGCCTCGGGGAGCCACGCCCAGGGGCAGGGGGGGGGGTGTGGAAGGAGGGGCAGCTCGGACAGTACATTTCATTAAAGCGTGTTTTTTTTTTAGTATTTTTTTTAATATTTTATTAATTTATAAAAACAGTCAAGTCAGGAGGAGAAAAAGGTATTGAGCTTGGCGATTAAGAGCATGGAGTCGAGAGCAAGGATGGCTCGGGAAGAGAGTTCCAGTCTATGGGGGCGGCAGAGGAGCACGAGTAACCTCCCAATAAATGAAGGTCAACTCGAGACTGACAGGAAAGTCGAGTGCGTTGATCGGTCATCTCAGCATTTGAAAACAATGATTACTAGTCCAAAGTGTCACCATGCTTGTGACAAGCCGATTGCATATTTTGTAAGCATTTACTAAACTTCTATTACAATTATTGCACTCACGACAAATGGAAAAGTGCATGCAAGAATTGACTCCGTACAATGTAAATGTTATTACATGTAAGCTATACTAGAAAAGGCATCGATACAAAAAGTAATTCAAAACGAGATGCTAAAATGTCGGCCAAAACTAAGCTATTCTTGAACAAAACCTCAACCTACAGTTGTGACAATCCATAAACGACCGCTGCCTTTCCAAAAAAAAAAAACCCCACATGGCCGCACCTCCCTCATGTCGGCGAGAAACAGGTTCCCTCCAGTGAAGTCTTTTCCGAGGCATACGTTGAGCGTAACCTCTGCGTTGTCAAAATGCTGGGAGAGCCCAGGCTCCATCTCAGACGTGTACTTGACAATGAACGCCTTGTGAGAGTCAAGCGAGCTGCCACCCTTGTCAGGGTAGAGCAGTGCAGTGATGGGACGCAGGTAGTCTTCCCGCAGCGGGGAGATCAGCTCCTCGTCGCAGCCAAGCTCATCCAGGTTCACCTGAACGCAATTCAGTTGAAGGGTTTGCATCATTAAAAAAAATGGCACACAAATGAAAGGCATTTATAATAATAAAAAATTGTGGAGTAATTTTTCACCGTTTCAAGCAAGCAATCACGATGCCAAGTAAAATGATGAAGCCCTGTAAACCAAGCTAACAATAAAGAATGCATAGATAAGAGTAAAAAGCTTGAGTGCAATAGTCAGCGTGCCAGACTGACATTTACCCTTACACTCGACGATTCGGCAACCCAGTAGTGAGGTAATCAAAACCGACTGTTCGGAAGGCCTTGATCCAAGAGTAGAGTGACATAAAGGGCTATAAATTATTTATAATGGATTATTAAATGCACATTCGCATCCGCAGTACTGTGGTTTATATACATTCTTAGAAACGGAGTCCAACAATATGCAAGGTAAACACTTTAAGATGCAATTTATATTAAAAAGTGGGTTCCAACCTGCTCAAGGCTACAAGGAAGCATTTGTAAAACTAGTGCAGATGTTCACGTTTTTGTTAATGTGGGTTACAATTTTAGTGTTGGCAGTAGTTAGTCTAGAAAAGTAGCCAACCCATCAAATAAAGTATCCTTCCTACAGATAGTTACCTAGCACACAGGCTGGTTGGTTATATTAGCGAATGTATAACCAGTATTTTGTTCAGGTCTTAAGGAGAATGTGTATTATCGAACCCCAAAAAATGCCACATCTGCAACAAGTCAAGAACCTGCTGGCAGAGCAGGGCACTTGGCAAGTGAATCACGAGGAGAGAAAGTGCACTTACCCCGCAAGTGTTCATACTGTTTGGTTTGCCCTTGGGCATGTCGCTCGACTCAAAATGCTGCAGCTCTTCCAAGAAATTGCGACAGAAATCCTCCGTGAATACAGGGAAGACTGTACACGCGATCGGCTGCAGCACACGTGCGCACAGATTTTAAAGGATGTAGCACGATATATGACAAGGTTATGTATTACAAACCATGGTAGGAAAGTCTAAAATGTTGTATATATCAGCTACGGCTTGTCCACTGGATGAAAGCGACACTTCTGACAGTGACGACAACAAGATGCCACAAACCAAAACAATGGAATTTATATTCCCTGAAAACCAAAATAAATCCACAAACGTCTTGGCAGCTGGGTATTGATACTTTTAATGTTAAGTTAGCATGCATGTTCAAAAGACAGTGATATAGGATAAGGAAGGCCATCTACCACCCACCAATAGATATACTAGGACATAATTTTATGGCTATGCTTCTTGGCTCGGTGCATTGTTTGAAATGCAAAACAACTTTTAAAACGTGTTTACTTAAATGGTAATTGCACTTACAAATAGCAACTATGCGTGCATCTTGCGACTTTGATTTGCGCATTAACAACAGTGCGCGTTCCAGCATAACGTCTAGACAAAAAAAACTGATTTTAATTAAACTACAAAGTTAGAAATACCTACATAATTTCAAAACGTGTCATAATAAAAAAAAAAGGTACCCAGGGAAGGGTTAGCAAACTGAAGCCCAAATGAATTAAAGTGACTTTTGAAGAATGCTTAACTTGAGAGGAGGATGCAACTTAAATTCAGAACGACAGCAACTCCCACAAGTAAACTCTTGCCCTGCTGCCTGCAGCAGCAGAATTGCTGTAAGTGCAGAGTTTGAATTTACCTAACAATCTGATTTTCAAAGTCTCAGCATGTACAGTAAATAAATAATGGACACATACATTATTTCTGCAAGATGCTTGGCAATAAATGTTTTTGTTGCATACAGTACCTGCATAACAATGCAAGCAATCTTGGTCACGAGATAAATTCACAAAAACATGTTTGCAGTCCCCTTGGTATTGTTAGATTTTTCCCATCTCATTTACAGTTTCAGTTGGCTCTATTAGCTTCAATGTAAAATGAATATACATGCTGAATACACTTAGAATAAACTGTAAACAATTCATCCATACACAAAAACAATGCATGCACTGCAAGCATAAACCATAAATTCTAAAATCAACAAATCCATGCAACATTACACAGCCCATCAGAGGTGCTACATTACAATACAACTCGGATTAACAGCGTTTCTTTGCTTTATGTGCAGTGCATGACATCACGTTGTTACGCCATGTACCTTGAACTTCTTGGACTCGCTGCAGGATCCCATCGAAGCAGGCATCATTAGATTTGCAGTACTCCACCAACTCCCGGAATTCCGGAGCCAGAAAAGAGGGCTGGGGGGGGGGGGACAATAACATTCAGGGTAAAATATTGCACAATCACGTGGCACAAACTTTTAAAGTGTAGACAAAAATAAGTAGGTTTGTTTTTATTGCACAAATTTGTTTCACATTTTGCGTATTTTTTTTTATTAAACACTATTTACAAATTAGACATGCATAGAGTGCTCGTTGAATTATCAATTAGTAATACAACTCACAATTGTAGAAAGATAGCAGTGTATAGGCGTGGTTAGTGAATTGTTAGGAACCTGGTGACCAGCGTTGGATTCATAGCCACGGCTAACATCATTGGCGAGTTTCATCAATGTCCTGTGCTACCCACCCCCCCTCCTTTCACCAACAAGTGGTGAGCAGTCAATCATTCCCCCATGATTGATACGACTTGAGAAAGCTTTCAGACAGTAGATTGGACAAACGGGGCTGGAACTTATAATCAAATAAATGTGGGAAACGGTGGCTTGTAAAATACACTGGTCACACTTTTTCTGGCATAAGGTATTCCAACGGTTAAGGTAATTTTGGGGTGCCGATTACAAATCTGGCATCAGTTTTTGTCTACCACATCAGGTTTTTGAGATATCAAATATTGCATTTTCGATCAAAACGGCAGAAGAAAAAGATTTTTAAAATGTGGATATCTACATCAAATGATATTATAAATACAGCACCATATTTTAACACTAAAGCAGTCACCGACTCGCAACAACTTGCAATCATAAGTGACAGTTAATTTAGGGTAAAATCAATGAAAATGGGCTATGGCGATAGCATTAAAATGAGATGTGATAGAGCAAAATCTGAGATCAGATTTGGAATCAGCACCCTGAAATTAGTCTAAAACAGCTGCAAAAGTCCAGGCCGGAATTTTTTTTTTGCTGACCAGTGATATCATGTATGTCGAATTTCTTTTGTAGCCAACAGTGCTAATCGGAGGTGCGGAGGAAAGGACACCTAAAAAACACAAAAGCAGTCATGCCTGGCATAGTACAGCAAGATGCCAGAAGCAAGCTTCCTGGAACCGCCTCACCTGTAGTTTGTATATGTGAGGATGGAGGGGCTTGTACAACTGCCGTATGGTTCTCTTATTTTCCAGGTATTTTTTTCCGAGAGACTTACGCCGTTTTATTTCATCCTCAATCTGCAGCCACATTTAAGAGGTAAAACATCATGGGTGGCAGCATGTCATTTCGTCAAGTGATCGTTAATTCCGTTGAAAACACCTAAAAACCCATAGACGTTTCATGCCGAATTGAATAAAGATTGTTATTTTTAGATTTGCTTTTACAATCCAATGTGCATTCTCATGCATTCCGCATTATTCGTACACTTATGCCTACATCTTTAGCTGAAATGTAACCAATTTAAATTAGGCACAAACCATACATCATCATAAGCACAACCATGCTTGTATTGCGAGCATAAGCACGGATTAAAAAAAAAAATCGGTGCATCATTACAGCACACGTATAACTGGCACACGCAAAAGTACGTCAAACTATTACGGTCCTTTAAATAAAACAAAGAAAACAGCCCAAGATGATGGCCCAGTCAACACGTTACGATTTGGGCAAGCTGCCGTTGCCACTATACTTAAAAAAATGCCCCGAATATCCTAGCTAGAGGACCAGGTGGTTGCACAACTTGTAAATCGAGCACTTCGGCGGCAAGGATTGGTCGATATCAGAAATGTGAAACTCCCAAACCCACTTGGCCGAGGCGGTCAGGAGAGTTCAGCACAAACAAATCAGAATCCTCCTGCAGTATGCGTGTGGTGGACGTTTGCTCTCACACGCAGAGACGTAATTGGCCAAACATCCAAGTAATAGTCTTGAGATTGTGAGGCTTTTCTGGATAAAGTAGATCACACGAAGGGAGCATTGGTATAGCGGACCACACACACACTTTGCTTTGAATCCAGTGATCAGTTAGATTTCTGGCAAAGGCAAACATCGGTGGCAAGCGATATCTTAACTGGTACTTCCCATACTGCTTCACAAATCCAGTGGCAGATCCAACGAGGTGGGATCAGGGGTCTTACCCCTCCTCTCACCTCGTTAAGCAGGCATTGCGAATCACAAATTCACTTTGGGCAACTTAAAGGCATCATTACCAAAAGAAGATTAGGAGGGAGTAAAACGTTTAAAAGAGTATATGGCTTAACCTCAAGAGTCGCAGATCACATTCAAGATTTACATGCCAGACGTAAATGGCCACTCACGTTTTTTACGATGTTCGTGAACTTTTCCGAGTTGCAACCTTTACTCACAAAATACTGCGGAGGCAAGGGAGGAAAGGTAATTCAAGCAACATTAGCAGATCCATTAGCCAAGATAACACGAGCCGCTACACCGTGGTGGAATAATTACAAATGATTAAAATTTCGATTTAAAGCTTTCGTGACTGCAGGGACTCATCTTCTTGGTTCTTTCGGTAAAGTCACGTAGAAAGGAAATAATAAAATAAAACATAATAAAATAATTCTCACGACGTTTCGGCCACAATTCAGACGGTCTTCTCGACAGACCTGTTCTTCACCTGAGGACGGCTGCTTGCATTGTGGCCGAAACGTCGTGAGAAATATTTTATTGTTTTATTTTTATTATTTTATTACTTTCTACGTGACTTTACCGAAAGAACCAAGAAGACTAACAAATGAATTACCGCATCACGGGAGTACATTATACAAATATTAAAAACATACAAACTTACAAAAAAAGGCCAAAACGGCGATTATATAATCCCATATCATTATACCTAGAGCCGTCCACCACCGGACTGGGATAAAACTGGGAGTACAGCTATAGAAGTAAGATTAAAAAAGGGAAATATAAAAAGCCCCCGTGGAAGAGTTGAAAACTTAAAATGAATTCCAGAAAACGTCAGCGCAGGTGGCAGGCGGGTGGCCCAAAATGCCATGGCCACGGTGTTTCATCCACGGCAGAGAGGAGTTTCGTTCCCACCGTACCGAGCTGTATTGTCGCCAGAACGCCGCCTTGGTCGTGAACGTCACGAACATTTCGTACTCGGGCACGAAGATGTTCTTCGAGTAGAAACATTTACAAGTGTAGAAACGCTTAATAGGTTCCGTATCCGCCAAATCTTGGAGTCTTTTATCAAAAGGCCTCTTCTCGAATGACGGTTCATTGCCGGACGCTGCAGTCACAGTCTTAGCCTCGGTATTATCGGCATCCTTGGACTTTGCATCCTGAGACCCACCATCTGAACCTGCCTTCTTAGCCTCACCTTCATCTGAACGTGCCTTCTTAGCCTCACCTTCATCTAAACATACCTCCTTAGCCTCACCATCATTTGAACATACCTGCTTAGCCTCACCATCTAAACATGCCCCCTGAGCCTCACCTTCATCTAAACATGCCTCCTTAGCCTCACCTTCATCTAAACATTCCCCCTGAGCCTCACCTTCATCTGAACATGCCTCCTTAGCCTCACCATCTAAACCTGCCTTCTTAGCCTCACCTTCATCCATACCTTCCTTAGACCCAGCTTCATCTAAACCTTCCTCCATGTCACGCCCTACCTCTTTTTCCTCGACCGCCTCTGCCATGTGTACAACAAAACCGATGCACTACGGAGCTGTATATTTACACATGCAAAACGTATCACTTATTTACTTCACGTACGAAATTAAAGATGGCATTGCACAAAACGGCACTAATCAACCCGCCAACAGACGACTACACCTGGACAGAAACCCCAAAGCTGCGTCGCCTCTCTCGGATTAATCCCGTGTCCTTCGAAATGGAATCGCCACGTCCTACGTTACGACGAAGTCCTATGGCCAAACCCCACGCCGATTTAACTCTCGCCCCACCACAAAGCCACCACCACGACCACCACCCACGGCAGCCTTCCGTGCCACCGCTCAACCAACGGGGGGCTGTGCGCGCACAACAGGACGCCACACAGAACTAGAGGCCCAGAACACACTTGTCCACGTCAAATAACAAAACGCTTGAAAGCTTTCAAACTCGCAACGTCAACAAATCGGCCACCTCCACCACCTCCACCACCTCCACCACCACAGCTGCTACGACAACGCCGGGCCGCGTGATGACAACACTACGCACCTCCCGGACTCAGCCGCCGTTTGGGCGATTTATACCGATTCGTCAACGAATCTGTAAGGGCGCGATCATGAGTTGCGTCAATTCAATTTTAATTAAAAAATATATACTTTTAAAAACCTCGTTATTTCGGTATTTTTCGTAATTGGATGTAATTCTGCACGGCTGTATAGACTATATATACACGGTAGTTTAACACGTAGGTTTTTCGCGATCAATATTATCCATAATAGGTGTTTTTTTGGGGGTTAGATCGCGTGGAATATGCACGCGGTCTGACCTCAAAGAAACCCACCTCTTATGGATAGTATCTATAATTTTTAAATACTGTTTTAAATCCATATATTTCAGTAACTGTTTAATTGATGGATGAAATGCGTACTGAAGCAAACTATTGCAGCATGAAAAAAATGGGGACGAGATGTGTTGTTTTTGTACAGTATGGCAATTGAGAATTATTAATGTTACAAGGTAATTAATTACATGAATTGAGTTTGAGCTATTTTTTTGTTTAAAAAAATTAAAAGTTATCTCCTGGAATGGCTAAAAATAATCTTGTTTTTCGGTTTGAGATAGTTCCCATCTGATTTTTGATTAAACAATGATTGATTGTATGATTAACTAGTCCATTGTGTTCAGCTCTGTAAGAAACATCATCTTAATTGCGGCTACAAAACTCCCTGTGAACAGCTCATAACTCCCTAACTCTTCAGAAACTAAGCCAATACCCTAAAAAAACTATGTACAATTGAGGAGAAAATCCTGTGACAACGTCATTGTTAATGTTGTATAATGTTGTATATTCACAAGGTAATTCATAAAATACATGACAGCTCCCTCCTCCCCCTCCCTCCTACCCCCTCCCTCCTCCATCCCCCCCTACCCCCTTCCCCCTCCCTCCACCTCCTCCCCCTCCCTCCTCTCCCCTCCCTCCTCCCTCTCCCTCCTGCCCCCTCCCCCTCCCTCCTCCCTCCTCCCCCCCTACCCCTTCCCTCCACCTCCTCCCTCCCCCCTCCCTCTCTCCTTACCCCCCCTCCTCTCTCCTCCCTCCGCTCCTCCCCTCCACCCTCCCCCCCTTCCCCCTCCCTCCCCCTCCCTCTCCCCCTCCCTCCCCCCCTACCCCCCTACCCCCTCCCCCCCTCCCTCCACCTCCTCCCTCCCCCCTCCCTCTCTCCTTACCCCCCCTCCTCTCTCCTCCCTCCGCTCCCCCCCTCCCCTCCACCCTCCCCCCTCCTTCCCCCTCCCTCCCTCCCTCACCCTCCTCCCCCCACCCACGTGACCACGCGAATCGGCATCTGCGCGACTCGGGCGCAGTGCGGAGGGTGGCGCTGCGACCGACGGCCTCATGGCGCCGCTCCGCATCAGACACGTCGTGTCGTTCACCTCCCAGGTCGGTGTGCGCCTCGCCCCCCACCCCCTTCACCCCCCCCACCCGCATTCGCCAATCGATTAATCGATCACCGTTATCACTTGACTTTTGCCAACGAGAGCTGCGCTCCGCTCGCGTGTTGACGCCGCGGCGTTCGCTGCGGGCGGCTTTGGCGGGAAATAGGAACCTGGTGGGCCCTCTGTGTGTGTGTGTGTCACTGTGTGTGTGTCTGTGTGTGTGTCACCGTGTGTGTCACTGTGTGTGTGTGTGTGTCACTGTGTGTGTGTCACTGTGTGTGTGTCACTGTGTGTCTGTGTGTGTGTCACTGTGTGTGTCTGTGTGTGTATGTCACTGTGCGTGTCACCGTGTGTGTGTGTGTGTCACTGTGTGTCTGTGTGTGTGTCACTGTGTGTGTCTGTGTGTGTGTCACTGTGTGTGTCTGTGTGTGTGTATGTCACTGTGTGTGTGTCACTGTGTGTGTGTCTGTGTGTGTGTCACTGTGTGTGTCTGTGTGTGTGTATGTGTGTGTGTCACTGTGTGTGTGTCACTGTGTGTGTCTGTGTGTGTCACTGTGTGTGTGTCACTGTGTGTGTGTCTGTGTGTGTGTCACTGTGTGTGTCTGTGTATGTGTGTGTGTCACTGTGTGTGTGTCACTGTGTGTGTGTGTCACTGTGTGTCTGTGTGTGTTACTGTGTGTGTGTCACTGTGTGTGTGTCTGTGTGTGTGTCACTGTGTGTCTCTGTGTGTGTGTGTCACTGTGTGTCTGTGTGTGTGTGTGTCACTGTGTGTCTGTGTGTGTGTCACTGTGTGTCTGTCTGTGTGTGTGTCACCGTGTGTGTGTCTGTGTGTGTGTCTGTGTGTGTGTCACTGTGTGTGTCACTGTGTGTGTGTCTGTGTGTGTGTGTGTCTGTGTGTGTGTCACTGTGTGTGTCTGTGTGTGTGTCACTGTGTGTGTGTCACTGTGTGTGTCTGTGTGTGTGTCTGTGTGTGTGTCACCGTGTGTGTGTCTGTGTGTGTGTCACTGTGTCTGTCTACGCGTGGATTTGAGTTAATTGTTCGTGCAACTCCGAGATCGCATCGTTATTGTCTCTTGTGTCGAGTTTCTGCAAAGCAATGAGGGTGACGCGTGTAGGGTTTTTGTTTTGGAAGGGCGTGGAGTGTTAATTAATTATCACATTCACAACATATAGTGGTAGACGGGACGTGGTTTTCGATGTCCTTGCCAGCTGTAGCTGCTGCTTGAACGCGATTTGCAACAAACATTGAGCAACAGGCCGATCTTCGTAAATGGGGGAAGTCAAAGACACAAGCGACGGTAGTACGATTGTGACTGCAACCCAAACTTATGGACAATATCGTTTAATACCTGTCGGACCCTTATCGGTGCCTCCCATATTACAGGCCAATTCAGACCTTATTGGTCACCCCGTGCCCTTGATAATTCTCAACGTTCATCCTACAACGTCCCATCACAAGGAATAAACACAAACAATTGGACACGAAAAATGTGCCCGTACTAAGACGACTGTAACGCCGTGTGGACCTGAAAACTCAATTTCCCTGTACAAGAATTCGGCTAAACCTTATGGGTTGGCAGCTGTGTATAGTTAACCACTTTCGTCCGTGCCCCTTCAAAGGATGAGATTTCAGAACTACACAAACTCCCTGCCGAAACCTTCTCGTCTTGGGCTGGCAGACATTGCATTTCGCTCCTTAACATTTTGCTGCTATACGCAAGAGTCGTACAAATATTCTGTCCATTCGTCAATCCACTGCTGGATGAGACCTCTCCACGCCCTGTCGACCATATGGTTTTTTTAACCATACTTCTCCACGCCGGTCAGTGTGGGTTCGTAGTGGGCCCAGCAAGACAGGTTCCAGATATCGTCACATGGTGTACATCTGGGTGGGTTGGTCTTAGGCCAGATATTGGACGTTAAACAAGATTAAGCCTCATGCCATGCAACAGAGAGCAGTGTAGACCAAACAGTAATTGTTGTACTGTATGCCTGAGCCCCCACGTATATGCTCCCCGCCTTCAACCCACACTGGCCAGCGTGGTGAAGTATGGTCAAATGACTCCCATGACCCACACGACAATGTATCTAGAAGGAGATGAACAGTCTACGCCTGTTATACTGGTAGGAACCTCTTGGTTACACCAGCCCACAGGGGATTATTGTGTCCGTCTGTCGTGCAGGGAGGGCCTGGGTGGGGAGGGGCTGGGAGGGGTGGGGCTGGGTGGGGAGGGGCTGGTCACCCTGTGGTGCCCTTAGAAAACTCAACGTTTAACCTACTCACGCCGGCTTGTGCCCGCCCTCACAGTCGGGCATATTTGCGGAATACACCACGCCGCTGTTGACCCTGGCCATTGACCAAGCAACCCAACGTTCCTACCAGCTCCCTCCGCAGGAATGTGTTAATAGCAGTTGTGGTGCACAGTCGTGATTTGATTCAAGAATACAGAAGATCGTTTTTCACAATGAATGCAGCAGCCGATAGTGGTTGGAAGAGGCGTATGAGCCCATTATATATAATCTTTCACATTGAAAAAAACATACCGCGATGACATGGATGTATCGTTGGGTCAAGAATCGATATTAATAAATCGATGCATATTACACCCCCAGTAAATAGGCCGTCCAATTAGAGATCAAAGTTTGGTTAATGTGAAACAAAATGATCAATGAAGCTATATTGGAGTAATGTCTCTACAGGGCCATAATGACACCCATGACTTTACTTTAGTCTGTTTTCTCAGTGCATCTTCTAACATTTCTGGGACACAGTCTAGATTATATGTATCAATACTCTTTGGTTCTTTCGGTAAAGTCACGTAGGTATGTATCAACAAGACCAAGTGATTTTTTGAAATACATTTCAGCCCCAGGTATGTTATTCCTACCTCCCCATTGTGTGCCTTGATGCAAACGCTTTGTGCGTGCCTTTGCAGGACCCCAACCACCCAGCACAGGGGCTGCTGGCAGGCGAGCGCTGGCTCTGTAATCCATCCGACCGCAGTGGCCTCATGCGTGCAGAGCTGCAGCTGGAGCAGGCCAGTCTCATCGCCTACATCGACATCGGTGCGTGAGTGTTGGCCGCGCAGGACAGTGGTGGGGCTTAGTTTGAAGACGTTGAGTACTGTCTCTGACATGAGTGTCCCCCGCAGATATTTATCCAAAAATAGACCATAGCTTTGTCAAATTGTAGACTTTCCCTTGGGCCGAGTTTACTCGATAACGAGCCCTTTGCAACGCCGACTTCTTTACCTTTCGGCAGATTAAGTATGAAGGGATGCCACTTCAGTTTTCATTCATGATTAGGAGTTACGGTTAGTAGTGCCGAAGACTTATTTTCTTATAAATTATTGTCATGAATGATTCCATGTGCAGTTTTGAAAGTATAAGAATATATTTTTTATTGATGAATCTATGCATTTTTACATGTGTGACGTATCGTCTTAAAGCTGTTGGACACGGAGACATTCCTGGTGATGCGCAAGCTTTAATTGCAGTTAATAATAACATTTGCCCATGACATTAGCACGGACTGGTTTTGTCTTTTGAAATACATTATCCGATTGGTTGTGGATGCTCGTCACATTTTTGGATATCATTGTTATGCATTACTCTCCATGGAGAATCCTGTGACAAATTCAGCTGGAATGCACCTGATCTCAGAAGATTAACACGATGGAGCCTGGATAATACCTGAATGGGCCTCCACCATATACTAACAGGTTTTTATAGGCTGCTGTGGAGCTACATTTTGAGCAGAAAAGGGTAGCAGCAACATCCATTGTTGTACTTCTACTATGTCTCTTATATCTATGCTCCTTGCCTTCACCAACCCACACTGACCAGCGTGGTAAAGAATGATAAAATAACCGTACGGTGTGGCGAGGCTCTCATTTAGCGATGGATGGATGAAAAGGCTGTATATGTGCGTGATGGTGAAAATCTGCTGACGTGTCAAAACATGGCTTGTGCCCTCATGCACTTTGTGATGTTGTCGTGTTGTGTAGGGACAGTCGGCGTGGGCCTTCTGCAGGTGGAGGTGGGCCGCTCTTCATGGGCCCAAGACACTGCACTCGTCACTCTTCTCCCCACAACCGTTCTGCTGTCGGCAGCACAGTCCAAGGCCAAACACAATGAAATGTCGGTGCGCATGTTCAACTCGGGTAGGTGGCCACCCAGACAGCATAGCAGGTGCACACTTGAGTGCACGTATGTGTCTTCTTGGTTCTTTCGGTAAAGTCACATAGAAGGGAAATAATAAAATAATAAAAATAAAACATAATAAAATACAATTCTCATGACGTTTCGACCACAACGCAAGCAGCCGTCCGCAGGTGAAGAACTGGTCTGTCGGAAATACAGCGTCTGAATGAACACCACCAAGCTTGGCAGCGTATATTTAAGCAGGGCTAGGGGAGGAAGGGCGCATTGACAATGGAATTTGCATATCAACAGAAGAATTTAGTATATTTAAATATAAACGTCGTGAGAATTGTCTTTTATTATGTTTTATTTATATTATTTTATTATTTCCCTTCTACGTGACTTTACCGAAAGAAACACGAATATGAATCCCTGCAGTCACGAAAGCTTTAAATCGAAATTTGCACGTATGTGTTTTAAACATTTGTAAGTGCATCCGCTGGATGAGGGCCTACCCACTCGGTGCAGGTCGTGATGGTTCTTTGACCATGCTTCACCATGCTGTTTGAAGCAGTGTAGGTGAAGGTGGGGTTGCACAGACATGTCAGCGTGGAAGTACATAACAACAATGGCTTTTGCCGAACTACCCTCTGCTGCCCAACACGTAACTACGCAAACCTCGTGACAACCTCTTTATGCATGGTGATTGCCCATTTAGGCACACTAATCAGGCTCAAGCCTATCCTTATTTTCTGAGATGTCATCAGATCAGGTGCTTTTGAGTGACTTGGTCATAAGCGCTAGAGTTTATGGAGCCACTGACTTGAAAGGAGGCCATTTCATATCATTTCAGCAAATTGTGGTTGTGAACTCGATCAGTGTGAACTTTTGACTGTTATCGCCTCATAATCTTTTGTTTTCTCTGAGTACTCCAGTTTACTCTGACAATCAAAATTCTCCGTAAAATGGAATTGGGCCAACAGTGCGATGTAGGACTCTTCTGAAGAAAATAATCTCAGGACTTATTGAGTGACTCCTGAGTCTCAAAATAAATGACATGTTTTATATTTTTATGTGTTTGGCTTGAAGAAAACTTCACAAGGGAGGTGATGGCGGAGCAGTGGGACCGCGTGCGGATCACCTGCACTCAACCCTTCCACAAGTCCAATCCCTTTGGAGTCACGTTCATCAGCTTTCGCACATCTGGAGACTCGGACCAGGTCACTGAGTTGGTAAAGCCTTCAGGTCCTGCAACATCGAGACAGGTGATTGAAGTGTGACAAGCGTTGCTTTTACTTGTTCTACTATTTTTTCCCATCACTTGAGACCATAGATCTCATAATGTTGAGGCTGGTCGTTGAAGCTAGGCACATTGCACACAGTTGTAATGTGGCTGAAGTAATACTGCATTGTTGTAAATTATTATTCACCGGTAGCTTATGGGACGAGACCTTCCTGAGTAAAATGTGTCTTGTTTGCAGTCGGTGAAAACAAAAGCCTGTGAGGATAGAGTATCCTCTAAACCATGGCTCGCCCTGCCAGCCATCCGTCGCACTTTCTTCACACCAACAGAGAGGTGAGTGGACATGGTGTAAGTTCTATACAAAGGGGGTGCGTGTTTCCTTTAGATATGCACCGAATAAAACGGTTAATGATGTATGCAGGCTTCCCCTCTCACGACTTAATAAATTGTCACAAATTGGACTCACATTTTGATTAAAAAGAAAAGTTATGTTTTTGTCATTGTGGTGCTTATATAATTTATAGTAGCAGATTTTATGTGAAAACAATAACAGCATCATACTATATTATACAAAGTTTTGTTGGCTGGCACCCCAGCGGACAAACACTCAGTGGTGGCATTTCCTCGTCTATTTACATGATAAAGTTACCCGCATCCCACAGTGTTGAGCCAGGTTTGTGCATGCTGACGTCACCACCCACCCTCCACCCATGCCATGTATCCTGTGCAAGTGCACGGGCCGTGCTCGTATGAATACAAAATAATTCTCACGATTCAGTGTATTTATCTTGAGCATATTCACTTTTAATTGATGAACGCGTTCACCACGTCATGCCTAACGGTAATTGTGATGGAATGATTGTACAGGAATGAAAGAGTGGAAAAGCTGAAAGAGAGGCTGAGCCGACTGGCCCCCAAATCCAAGAGTGGCTGTGTGGACGAGAAAGCCCTTCCCAGGACGGCACGGCTGCTCCTCACAGCTGCTGCCCACCACTCGGCCACCATCAAAGCCAACAGCCACGCTGCTCAGGGCAGCAGTTCGCCTGTTGGAGATGATAGCAGGAGTAAAGATCTCTCTGTCCGGAGATTGGCCACCACTGCTTCGCACGCCCCCTGCTGTTGAATGCGGCGTCCAGCAAACTACAGGCAAGTGCAACGGGAAACTTTCGTCCTGCTTTTTATAGGTTAGATATATAAAAACCCTGCAGTTGCTGTGATTTAATGTTGGTCAAACAGGACTGGACACAAGCACACATGACACATTTATTTTTACTATGGTGATTTTTTTAAACTTAATTTTCCAATACAATATGCACGTTTCTCATTTCTTCATGTACCTCATCACACACACAGGCTTTAATGATGATTTAGCAAAATATTCACTTTGGGGAATAGGTATGCACAAACATGTAATAGAATGTTTCATGTACTGTACAGTCAGATCTAATCCTACCCCCCCCCCCCCCCCCCCCACGTCACCAGCCTGAACTCTTGAGGTATGACACTGTGTGAATAAACAAAGAGCTTGACGTTGCATATTACTACAGTGTTAGGATTCACGGTACGTAATATCTTCGACAACCCAGCGTTACACGTAATTATGTGTAAATTCTTCTTGGTTTTTTCGGTAAAGTCACGTAGAAGGGAAATAATAAAACAATAAAAATAAAACATAATACAATAATTCTCACGACGTTTCGGCCACAACGCAACCAGCCGTCCTCAGGTGAAGAACAGGTCTGTCGGAAAGACAGCGTCTGAATCTAATCAGACGCTGAGGACGGCTGCTTGCATTGTGGCCGAAACGTCGTGAGAATGATTTTATTATGTTTAATTTTTATTATTTTATTATTTCCCTTCTACGTGACTTTACCGAAAGAACCAAGAAGATGAATCCCTGCAGTCACGAAAGCTTTAAATCGAAATTTACGTGTAATTTATTTGCTGTGGTAGTGGGCTGAGGATGTCTGCTGATTAACGGGTTAAACAGTGCTCTGCTGTGACATGTGCTTCTTGTGCTGTGTTATCGTAACAGGTACCAGAGTTGCTGCTGTTCGCAGGGCTGCGGTTCAGACGCCTTCGGTTGTGTCGGGAAAAAAACGTCGCACAGAGGCCCAAGCGGCTGGGGCTGCCTCACCAGTTCACATGGCCACATGCACCCAGGCCCCACACGCCACCAGGTGAGGGACTCGTCAACATGATACGCATCACATGTCACTCTACACATGAAAGCAGGCATTGCAGAATTGTACCAATGTAATGCAATTATATTAAAAAGGATTTTCATCGGTGTAATGATTAAGTGATGTACTACAGATAGAACAACTAGGTAACCGTTGCATCTTGACCAATTGCAAAAGGGGGGAAAAGAATTACCCTACATGTATTACAAAATACATATTATAGTGGTCAGTGCATGTAGAGAACTATGTACTCTCGTAAACATTTATAATAAAAAGTAATGCTTTGCTAACTGGGTAAGCAACATTACATTGTATCAACTTAATTGTATTTGTGTATTTTATAGGGCTGTGAAGAGCTCCATAAAATGTCCCAGTCCAGCAAGTAGTGAGGTCTGGCAGGGGGACTTCTCGGGAGGTCCTGCGGTGAGGAGCCTTCCTGTGGAGCCTCGTAGGAACGTGAAAGCTGGCCCAGATCCAAACCACAAACGACCTTGCCCCATGTGCAGTGGTGAGCCTACGCCTCTCTTGCTTAAGAAGTACTGAGCTCTTGTGTCATCCGACAGCTGTTTTGTGTTTTCGGACATGACCGGTAATTAAGCACCGTTTTATTGGCATCTGTTGCCATTAACTGTTATAAAACCTCAGCTCATCAGAATTCACTCTTGAGGACTTTATTATATGCGCGGTTTTAATTTGTGTTATCTTAAAACTTCCCAAGACATTGCAAGGGTAAACCGTTGCGTGATATGGCGTGGTGACATTGCCTCGCTTTTTGCAGAGGTTTGCTATTTTAATCTGGCAGGTCACCCTGGTTATTAATGCGGCTGTGTTAACCATGAAAATAAGTGCTGCCTGCTTCCACAGTGGACGTTAAAGATTCCCTGACGTCATTCGAAACTAGTAGTGTGTCGGCGTCATGCTCTAAATTTGCCAAATTTTAAAAATTATATGATAATTTAACTTAACACTAATGTTCTCTGCTCCCAGACTATGTTCATCTGTGAAACGTAATAGCCCTGCACTATAACATTGACATGAATACCAAATGTACTGAACAATTCTTATTGTATACCGCAGGGTAGTCAAGTTTATACAATTAGATCACTTAATAAATAGCTAGTTCCCGTGCTCAGCTGGACTCCACTTTGAACTGCAGGAAGCGAAACACCCGCTGTCGTTTATACAGTTCATCATACTTTAAAGAGAATTGACTGATTGCATGTTAAGTGAGTGAATTATGCATTGAGGATGATGTCTTTTTCTTTGCAGGTTTGTTCAACATGGAGCAGCTACTGGTCCACGCAGCCACTTGTGGAGATGATTTACAACAGGCGCAGGGACCTGGGCAGGCACACTCCGGGCACCCCCAGCAGGACACATGGCCCCACCTCATCTACACAACCTCCAGCACATCCTTCCTCGTATCTGACACAGACGACACAGACGAGCGTCCACTCAGTGACGGAATTTACACCGACCGTGACACAGTGATACTCAGCGACTCAGACGGAGATGATGGAGACGTGCAGGTCCTGTGGGACCTCTCTGCTGACAGCGGACTGGTGGTCGACGACATCGATGATGACGACGACGATGATGACGACGATGTCCCTCGCCAACGTGAAATGTTCAAGTCCTCAATCACCTGTCCCATCTGCAGGAAGGAGTTTCCACCCAGAGTAATAGAGCAGCACGCCAGCCAGTGTGGCGAAGACCCAGACAGGTCCAATTCCCGTTGACATGTTCCTCGCTTCATTCTGGTGTAATAAAACAACCTGTTCCTTGCAGGTATTACAAGCACTGCCTGTTTAGTGTTCCAGCAATGGTTTACAGTCTCTGAGCTGGGAATTACATCTGCAGCGTGACTTCCAAAGGGATGTGTGAAACATTGGCAACTTCATTCACAAATATCTGAGTTACAGTATTGTGATGAAGACATTTCTTACTTGCAGTATGTATCATATACTTTCAGTTATTGGCCATTTAAAACACTAGTTATGCTCCAGTGTTGCTTATTGTGGGTTTTTTTCCCCAGTGGGTTAACTCGCATTTCAAATCTGCAGTTTACCCCTGTGAGAAGGGGCCTGTAACAATTTGCCCAACTTGGTACGATGAATCGTCACGATTCGATTTTCAAACGAATTGTTATTCTTTTAATGTTGTGGTGCAACATAACACCTCCTAATTCCAGATTTGAAGCTTTCGTGACTGCAAGGATTCATACTTTTGGTAAAGTCACGTCGGTAAAAAAGAAAAGACAAGAAATGAAAACAAAACTAAATCACCTGAAGACGGAAGCTTGTGTTGCCTCCGAAGCGTCGTGATTTAATTTAGATTTCATTTATTTTATTTTTTACCTACGTGACTACCGAAAAAACCAAAGAGTATAACACCTCTTGTGGCTGTGGGGGTCACTTTAACCAATAGCAACATGTTAAAAAAATTTCATAATTGATTTTCACACACGAGTCAATGCCTGCATCTTGAATATACGTCTCCCATTTTCACGTAATGATAATTAACAGCTCTGCTATAAATGCAAGGCTTAAACTTAACCTGCTTTTTATGTGTTGTATATTAGAACCTTACAATCCTGCAGCTGTCAGGCATTAGTGTCTATCTCACTGAAACCATATGATCTGTATCCTGTTGGCATCTAACCTTGTGTCAAGTTATTCTGTTTAGCCTTGTGAGAACTCAAGAGACCAGGGTAGACTGGTTCGCAACAGTGACCTGGGTCGTTAAAATGGCAAAAGCAAAATACACAAGAAACCACAAAAACAACGTCACGTGAGAAATTGAAAATATTTCAAACATTACCTTGAAATTGAACACAGCACAAATTACAAAATTAGGCTACACAAACGTTAACATTGAAATTGTAATGTGCTTTTTCCACTCGACCGTATTTTTTTTATACTGACTGATCCGCAATTAAGTGTTTCCCAAAATGGACATTTTAATTGGGACTTGGAAGCTGGATTATATATGTTTTAAACTTGTATTAAAATATTGTACATTGACCAACTCGGTGTAATTGTTTTTATTTTCGGTTCGATATGTATGAGGAACTGATGTGATCAAAAACTGATGAGAACATGAAATGCGTAATAATGACAAGGTCAAATCTATTGGAGCCATCGAATAACATGGATTTAAGCATAGATCACTTTCATATAAACAGTGATACAAAACGTTAACGTCACCTCAAACTTGTGGATATGTTTTACGTATAACCAACGTGTTCCCTGTTGCTATAGCAGCATATCTAACAAATGCACTTAACCGCACACGAATGAGGTTACAATTAGGGTTGTAACAATTCACCCTCGCGATTAGATAACACTGGTCAACAAAAAAAACTGCTGTTTTAGACTAATTTCAGGGTGCTGATTCCAAATCTGATCTCAGATTTGCTCTACCACATCTCATTTTTATGCTATCGGCATGCCCTATTTTCATTGATTTTACCCGAAATTAACTGTCACTTATGATTGCAAGTTGTTGCGAGTCAGTGACTGCTTTAGTGTTAAAATATGGTGCTGTATTTTTAGGATAGTGTGTTTATAATATAATTGTATGTAGATATCCACATTTATTTAATATTTTTCTTCTGCAGTTTTTATTGAAAATGCAATATTTGATATCTCAAAAACCTGATGTGATAGACAAAAACTGATTCCAGATTTAGAATCAGCACCCCAAAATTACATTAAAACCGTAGGAATACCTTATGCCAGAAAAATGTGTTGACCAGTGTAATGGCACGATTCTCGTTCATGCGGGGTATACGCAAACCAATTGCAGCATGCTGTACACGAATACAAAATAATTGCTTCCTAAGCATGTCCTGTCGCGTAAGCGTAACAGACGATTTTAATAAACTGATGCATCATTGCCTGCCAATTTTAGAATATCCAAAGGGGATGGGATTGGGGGTACTCACATTTGATCCTACCCCTTTGAAATACATCGTGCCACCCTTTACGATACGCCGCGGTGTCTGAATTATTGGCACGTCGTCTTTCGGAAAATCTGTTCAGTACCGCGTGTTTTTTGCGTGTCAGTCCAAGGTTTATACGAAGATAAGCGAGCCGTTTTGAACGCACAAGGCTGTTACTCAAACGTAAATAAGAGGCTGCACATTGCACTGGATACAAGTTGAGACGTTGGAAGCGGTGTCTTTATTAACGTGAAGTCTGCCGTGTATAAAGAACGTTTTTTGTTGTATTATAGTGGCTGAGACTTCACGTTCGACAGAACAAGTTACTTATCCCACCTTGATTCTGGGTGCGCGGTGATGAGCGCGCTGAGCTATGAAGCTGCCTACCTTGCCTTTGATACCCGACCACGGCTAACATCATTGGCGAGTGATGTCTGAAGCTGCCCCTTCTGCCCCCACCAACCCGCACTGACCAGCGTGCTCAATTATTGTCAAACAACTTCCACGATCATATCACGGTTTGCACGAGCCCCTTGTTTCAGAGGACTATATTAAATTAGAAGTCTAATTGACTGACATTGTTAATTCCAATGTCCACAATATGTACACTGTGTATTACGCTCGTCATTGCAATGCACTTACTGTATCCTCACCAAACATTTAATTCGGACGTCACAGTGGCATGTATACATACGTACAAGGTTAAGGAGCAGCCCTGCAATTGCTTACATGCCCACGCCACTGCTGGCGGAAGGGGGGGGGGTATTGGTCTCCTCTTCCACGTTGACCAGACGTCTTGGAAGAGGTGGGCGTACACAGCATGTACACAGCCAGATCACACTTGCCATTGCAATGTACTTACTGTCGATAAACGCGCATCATCTGCGCGTAATATTGCGCGCAGGAGATTGAACGAACGGGTCCCGAATGCAGGAGGTAATGGATGGAACGTGACCACTTAGTCCAATAATACTCCACAAGCAACACTTCAACGGGCTTGGTGGGGGGGCTGTAAAACCACAAGGCGACCGGTCAGCATTCCATGCAGCGTGCCTGCCACCCGCCGAGGCCCCCCAATCGTGCGTCCCTTCCCAGCCGTCTCTGGGGGGGCTGCTGCTCCCTTTGGGGGGGCGCGCCAAACTGCTGCAAGTTGCCGGACGCTCGGCACTGCAGGCGCGGCTGCGCGTAGTTCTGCTGCTGCTGCTGTTGCTGCTGCTGCTGTTGCTGGTGGTGCTGTTGCTGATGTTGCTGGTGGTGGTGGTGCTGCTGTTGCTGCTGCTGCTGGTGGTGGTGCTGGTGGCGGCGAGGGGCCGCTTCTCGCGGAGCGATGGGTGGTTCGTGGCGACGCACGGGGGTCAGGACCGCGTGCGCTGCCACTGGGGCTTGAACCGGGGTGTGCGCTGCAGCGGACGGCGGTTGCGGAAAGCTCGCACGAGCTGCTGTTGCTGCTGCTGCTGAACATGATGGACGTGCTGATGCAGGTGCAGCTGCTGCTGCTGATGCTGCTGCTGCTGCTGCAGGTACTGATGTGGCTGCAGGTGCCGGGACAGCCTCCTGCGCCAGAGTGCGCAGCAGCGTCGAGAGCGAGGCGATGCGGTGTATGGCGCGGCGCAGCGTGGCGATCTTGGAGAGGCGCTTGCTCGACAGGTCGTGGCGCAGGGAGACGCGCAGCGCGTTGAACGCCTCGTTGTAGTCCGACACGCGCTTGCGCTCACGCACGTTGGCCGCCCTCCTGCGCGCCTTGGAGCGGCTGCGCTTGCCGACTGAGGTGCCGGGAGCACGACTGCAGGCAGTGGTGGAAGAGGAGGAGGATGATGATGATGAGCTGGTGGTGGATAAGGAGGAGCTGGTGGTGGGACTGGTGTTGGACGAAGAGGAGGAAATATGTGTGCGATTGCAGGCGATGTCCTCTGCAGCTGGTGCCACCGGTTGCTGCTGCTGCTGCTGATCGGGCGAGCTGGCTCCTGGGTGCCCATCCTTGAGCTGCTGCCGGAGGTTCCAGTTTGGACGCCCGCACGCCATGGTGCGCACGTGTCTCTCGCAAGGTTTGCGAGTGCACGGGCGAGCGAGTGTCTGGGTTATTCAGCCCCTCGCTGAGACTGTCACCTGACGCGTCCCATCCGCCCACCGACTTTACCTGCCCCCCCGCCCGCCCCCTCCCGCCGCGGCTCCCCACCCCTCTGCTCCCCCCGTGCATCACCTCCCTAGCTCCTTTGCGCCGCTTCCACCGAGCACCGTTGCGTCTCCGATTAGCTCAGCACCTCAGATGAGCACGGTTCGCTAGGTACGGTGCGAAAGAAGTTAAGCATGCGTAGCAAGTCGAGATGAAAAACTTGGAGCATTGTGAATTTAAAAAAACGAAACTAAAACGAATCTATATTTTTTTAACCAGGTAATGCCCACTGAACTATACAGGCATTTTTAAAGAAGCGACTTGGCCACAAATGATAGCTCAGAGAAGTTGCTTATCATGTGGAGATGGACAGTTGCCAAAAACTCTAAACGCATGATGTTGATTCTAAATGTGGAGGGAAAACCCGGAGGACCCGGAGAAAAATCAACTCGATCACGGGGAGAGAGACACGCAAACTTCAAATATACAGCAGCAGGCGTCAGGGTCGGTTCTAAACCACGTCCCTCCTGTACATCAGGCGAGGTAGTTAACATCTCTAGATTTGAAGCTTTCGTGACTGCAAGTATTCATATTCTTAGGGTTTGTCGGTAAAGTCACGTAGGTAAAAAATAATAAAATTAATAAAAGTAAAATGAAAATAAAATAAAAAATCACGACGTTTCGGAGGCAAAACAAGCTTCCGTCTTCAGGTGGAACAGTCACAGCACCTAAGAATAGTTAACATCTCGCCACTCTGGCTCCCCAATGTAAAATGACTGCATCATCATTGTCAGTTATACATGCATGCATCATACAGCTGAACCCATGCGAGTACAATACAACATTGCGCATATGCCAGTGCATCTCAAGACGTTGTAATTAATTAGGGGTCACGACGAGACCTGGGGAGGTCCCGGGTAACACCTGAACAATTCACGGAAGCTTCCATAAAAGGAGTTGTACAGATATATTTTTTAAGCGTTGGTACACATTAAGACCATTCATTGAGAAGGAATGCAATCATCGGCACAGGAGTCGAAAGAGGTCTGGACTTGAACAGGGGCATTTAAGTCGGCAGCACGGATTGTCACGGGGAGGAAATCCAGACGATGAGGATAGCATAGAAGAAGGAGCGACCTTGTGTTTCCTGCAGCCCAGACGTTGCTACTCTATCTGTCGGTCCTCAAGTCAATCCCTTTAATTACAGGTGCAGGTGCGGCCACATTTCATTTCCTTTCTGTTACCTGTACCCCCAGCCACCACAAGACTCTGCAAATCATTATGAAGTGTCTGACTATTTAATCACTAAAACGAGTCTCATTTAAGCTTTAATCCCCACCCCCGCTCCCCGGAAAAATACTCCAATTATGCTACCAACGCCATATCATGAGTCTAAAACGATCTATTCAGAACTCGCAGTGGCATTACCTTGGTCAGAGAACGCCCCACCTTAAGATCGGTCTATTTAGCCACACCAAGTACAAAAACATTTTGTTACGTGAAAATCAACACAAAATGTTAAAATTCACAACGGGAAAGGTGGGGGGGAAAGGGAAAATATTTTTTAACGCCAATGCTTTTTCTGTGCGGTCATTCGTAAATCGGGCGAATATGCTGAGTTTGATTTTGTTAGTTGTGCTTGTACACCACTGCCAACGCATTATCACCAAATAATTTATATTAAATTTGGCGTCTTGCGCAGTTTATTTGCTCGAAAATCGACGCGCGCATAGGTCTGCCTCTGTTTCAAAGCTCTTCTGTGTGATTTCAAACATACATCTTTTGAACTTAATATTATTCACACGTTTGTTTTGTACAAGCACAAAACAAAAGCGGAGAATTTAAGTAACTTATGCTGGAGAATTTATTCGGATAGAATAGATTGAAAGACAATCGATAGGAAGGATGATGCATCAAGGGTGCATCTCTGAGCAGTGGATGTCACCTTCCCATTGGGTGATTCCAACGCGGCTCACAGCCAGCCACCATTCGGCCACGTTTGCCCCCCCCCCCCCCCGCGTGCATTTGCTCTGCGGTTTAAATGCCAATTCATAACGAGACCAGTCTCTTCGAGGCTGCAAGCTACTATTTTAACATTTTCACAGCACTGGATTTCAGTCATTTCAATTATGTAAAAATTAAAGAGCGCCCCTAGTGGTCACCAAAAACTGAACACGAGTTAATAATTCCTAAATATATAATCGGCGACGTTTCAGGCAATAGCCCTTCTTTCACTAGCTTTGCCTAGTGGTGACGGAGAGCGCCCTGGCGGTTTGACATTGGACTCGGTGGTCAAATAAATTATTAGAATCGTGCAAAAATATGTTTCATAGTTTCTATCTCTCTTTTAATTGTATCGTTGAGATTAGTGCTCCCTAAAATGAGTTTAGTACGACTTTTAAAAAAAATCTTACATAGCATCACATGTATGTAATGTACATCATTCGTTTTGTCAATCTACTGCTGGATGAGGGCCTCCCCACGCAGTGCGGGTTATTTTGGCCATATTTCACCACCCTGATCAGTGCGAGTTGGTGACGGCGGGAAGCATAGGCGACAAAGCATAGAAGTACATGACAACAATGAATGTTTGCTGCACAGTCCTCTGCTACTGCTCACCACGTAGCCGTGCGGCTCCCTGCTAACTTGTTTGTGTTTGGTGGACACTTTCCCGATCAATTCCCAGGCTCAAAAAATTGTTTCGCTTTTTAGATGTGACGAGGGATTGGACACATTCTGGGTGATTAAGTCATAGGTTACATGTTACAACCGTGAGTACGTTATATTTAAGTAAACTACATGGAGAGTAATGTACGCAATCCTTTGTCAACCCGCCGCTGGATGAAGGCCTCCTCACTACGTCATACTTGTCAACCCATACGGTGTACCCCGTTTTCTTGCACAGGGAAATTGAGTTTTCAGGTCCATACGACGTGCAGCTGTTTCAATACGGGCGAACATTTTTTTGTATCTATTTGTTTGCGTTTCTCCCTTGTGATGGGACTTTATAGGATCAACGTTCAGATGTATAAGGGTACGGGGTGACCAATAAGGTCTGAATTGGTCTGTAATAAGGTCGGGATTGACAGGTAAGCGCCATGTCGGTAGTGGTTGACCAGGTTGATGAATTGAGAGGAGGCAGTGGGGGCCGACGAGATACCGATATCGCTCGCCACTGATACGCGGTCGGGAATCGAACTGAAGATTCCAGGTTCCTGCAGGTGATGCTGCCGTTGGCAGGAACCTGCAGGTGATGCTGTTAGCAAGCATCTATGAAGGCCGGAACGGTACAGCACCACGCCCGGCCGCCTTTGTCTCCCTAGCGGCGACGTTTACACATCGCACCAGGTACTCATTTGAGGCTGAGTCGACCTAGGGGAGGCCCAGAACCGGTTCAGATAATCGTTACTGGTGTTTGCCGTGAGCGGGAATCGAACCCGGGTCGCCAGGTAGTGTAGCGCGCTAACCGCTACACTACCGCTCCCCATGCATGACACACACGTAACCACACACACGTAACCAAATGTTGTTGGCACGTATACACATGTGCACAATCTTTCTATCTTAACTTCGATCGGCGCTGTCTACGTCAACGTTGTTCAAAATAATCGCTGTGGAGGATATAAATAAGAAAGTAGATCATTTTTGACTTATAACTTTCGTGACTGCAGGAATTCATATTCTTTGGTTCTTTCAGTAAAGTAACGTAGAGAGAAAAAAAATAAAGTGAATAAAAAATAACCAGTGCTCCAGTCTACATTATATTATAGACTGCCAGTACACTCACTCCGATTAAGAACCAGGCTACAGTCTACATTAGTGTTTAAAAAAAATCAGTTTATTTTTATATCTACGTGACTTTACCGAAAGAACCAAAGAATGAGAAAGTAGATAAGCACACGATACGTCTCCTTCATGATCTCTCTCCATTCACGTACAGAAATAAAATAGTTTTTGTTTTACACGACCCCTTGGCCACGAGGGGCTTGTGGGAGTGCATTTCAGCAGCGGTGATTCAGTGCTGTGTAGGCAAACTCTGGATCTGATAATTGTTTTTTTACCCTTTTATCTGGCAACAAAACTGACACCTTTTTTTTACAAGGAGTCATGTTTGCATAGACCACAATACCTGCAGTCGAATGCAAACAAAAAACACAACTCTGATAATGTATGTACTGTCCTTGAAATGTATTGGTCCACACCCGAGACAGCTTTTCTTCGAGAGCCTAGTCTCACATGGTGTTGGACCAGATGCAAATAAGATTCCAATGGTGTAAATGCTTACCCCGAGCTCTCATACTCTGATGGTGCATTGTCTTTGAGTTGTGCGCCTTTTGGCGTCATCTGGTCCAACCCATGTAAAATTAGGCTCTAGGAAAGCTGTCTCGGGTGTGGACCAATCAACTTCAAGGACAGTGCATACATTATCAGAGTTATGTTTTTTGTTAGCATTATGGCTGCAGGCATTGTGGTCTATGCAAACATGACTCCTTGTAAAAAAGGTGTCAGTTTTGTTGCCAGATAAAAGGGTAAAAAAACATTTATTATATTTTTTACTGGCAAATGAGGTTCCAATGGTGATTGTTTACGTAGTTTACAGACATGGGTACTTACCCAATTACACGTTACAAATACTCGTTACGGACTTCGTTCACAAGTAACAAAAATTGTTTCCGTACTTTAGAGATTTGTTTTTTTTTACTTGTCATATTTTTCGATGTAACGCAATAAACCATAAATATGTTGACATTCATGTACTGTATTTCAGGAAATAATCATCCTGAATGTTGTACCCTTGCCAAGGTCTCGAAATGTTCGCAAACTGTTATTAATGTGCGACGCCACTCCCTCAAGATGAATGTTTACAAAAAATGTAAACATTTCACAAGCGTAACAGTACGTGGATGGATATCGCTTGGCAATCAATTGGTGTATGAGGATCTTCCCACGTTGGGCACTGCGGATTGATGAATACGGGGGCCATATATGTGGAAACATGCTACCATACAACAAATCCCTTTTTTTCTGCACTG